CCATGAACAGAAGTAAATTATCAACAGCAAGAGGCTGCATTGGGTCTGACTGACATGGAGTTAATTTTCCACATTGCAGCCCTCCCAGATCTGTGCTGCACTGGTATCTATAAAGGCGTTGCTCAAACACCAGTGTTTTGGCTACAGCTGAGCAGTGCTGGGGCAGCATCAAGGCTCTCTCTCCAGCACTCCCCTCTTACCAGTAGGCTGGGGGTGGGAAAGATCTTGGGAGGGGCCATAGCCAGGACAGCTGATCCAACTGACCAAGGGCATATTCCATACCATTCTTGGGCAGGATGAGCTCGTTAGCCTTCTGACAGTCATCCTAGGAGAAGGACAACTCTCATCCCAAACCCAGGCAGATGGAACTCGCTTAGCCCTGTAAGGCCATCCATCTAAGAGAAGGACACTCTAATCAAACCTACGTCCTGAGGACCTCGCTGCCACCATCCAAACTTGCTCGGCCCTGGCAGATGAACCTTAGGATTAAAGGGTGGGTTCAGTTCCGTGCACACTGCATCTCACCTAAAAAATCCATTGTGCAGTGTTTACAGAGCCATAGTGCTGTCTACTCTCGTATACGGATCTGAATCATGGGTCATCTACCGCCACCACCTGCATCTCCTAGAACGCTTCCATCAACGCTGCCTCCATGCAATCCTAAACATCCACTGGTCAGATTATGTGACCAATACATCTGTTCTTGAACAGGCAGCAGTCACAAGTATTGAGGCCATGCTACTGAGAACGCAGCTGTGTTGGGCAGGGCACGTCTCCAGGATGAAGGACCACCACCTCCCTAAGATCCTGCTTTATGGTGAACTTGCCACCGGCTGCCGCAAGAGAGGAGCCCCAAAGAAAAGATACAAGGACTCCCTGAAGCAACAACTCAGCCTCGGCCATATTGACCACCATAACTGGTCCACTCTGGCCTCCAATTGGGAGGCCTGGAGACAGACCATCTGTAATGCTGCTGATGCTTTTGAGAAAGCATGCAGGATCACCCTTGAGGAGAAAAGACAAGGCAGACAGAATCGTGTCTTGCAGAATATACCATCTAAGGAGTCTTTCTGCTGTGCCTTTTGCAACCGGACGTGCCTATCTCGTATTGGCCTTTTTAGCCACCAACGCACTTGCAAGAAACGTGGGTAGAGCCCTTCCCAAATCTTCATTTGTGAAGCCTAGCCATGATGTGATGTTTGCTCAGCAATAAAAGCTAAGAGAAAGGAGGAGGTAGGAGGCATTTTTATTACAATGTTTGTCTTCTGGAATAACTCCTATGCTTATGGAAGTCCTGCTTCCTGGGAAGTGGCTGGGCATCACCTGCTCATGGGAAGTGGAGAATAAATTTTTTTCCTATGCTTCTGCACATAGCCTTCACTTTTGTTTTATTAAACTACCTTTATCTTGAGCCACAATTTTTTTCCATCTTATTTTTAACTTCCCCCCTAGTCCTGCTGTGGGGAGGAGGGATAGAGTAGCCTGGTGGGTGTCCAGCTGAAGTCAGGACTCTAAAACTGGGAAGGCCATTCTCACCACAGTTCGATGTGACAGAATTCTGAGATTAATTCTGGGCAGGTTTTCTTTTCTCCAGAAGTGACTGGAGGGCAATTCAGACCTTGCCATAAACCAGGTGAACTTCCACCGTGTTTCACACATAAAACTAGGTCAGAAATGTCTGAAAGCTTTAGGATGAGCCAGATGACTTTGAAAGCACCTGGGGTCACAAACTGATACATTTTCTCCATTGGGCTTCCCAGGAACACAATAGAGATAAGCTTTTGGTAGAGAATAAACAAGGGAGAAAGAAAGGCCAAATTTCCCTCCAGATCCAAGCCTAACATTCTGATAACTTTAAGTGAAATAGCCTTACCTATAAAGAAAAACAACCATCTCAATAAAATACTTGGAACTGTTCTCTCTGGTTTAATACTGCATATAAAACAAAGCAAACCTAAGAGAAAAAAGTTTTATGAATGATTTGCTCTATGTCTTTTTCTGACTTCTTGAACCCTAGAGACAGAGAATGAGATGTCTTGTACTTTACACCTTGTGCGGTTCTAGGATGACTCCTCTCCTTCCATGCAAGCTGAGGCATCACATTTAAAACTGGGCAGCCGAATTGCCTCTAGCAATTGGCTTCAATAAAGGATCAGACAACTGCCACCATATGAGAACATTTCCACTGGGCATGAATCTTAGTGTTAGGGTCCAATTTTCAAAATACTTTCCCCTAGCTTGGAAGTGCTTAGCATTCCCAAAAGCAGAGTCCCGAGGCGAAGGAAGGATACCAGAGCAGTAGCCCTCTTTGGACGAGCATCCGCTTCTCACTGGGAATACTTTCTTTCTCTCCTTTTCTGCATATTGTTTCATCATACACTCCTAGGAGCTGCTGAACTAATCAAATTAATCTACCTGGGAAGGCACGTGCAACAATGCCAAATCTAATGAAGCAAGAAGACACGTAGCTTCTGTAATGTCTAATTTACTTTTAAAAAGACCACATTTATTCCATGAGCTGATTACTCTGCCAAATATACTATGGGGTCCCCTAAAAATGCCAAAAAATTGGATGCTTCCAGGCTAACTGGAAACGAAATATTTTCAGTTCAGTGACTTCTTGTTAAGATGAGAGGAAACAAGAAGGAAGAAAAATGTCATCTGCGACTGAGGGAAAAGGAAAACTTCATGTGCCAGCTGCATGTAAACAGACTGTGTTGGCATTGTCCAAAACTAAGACACAAAGCAGAAAACTAAAAGGATCTAAGCAAAGAAAATGAGAATGTTGAGTCAAAGATCACATCTGATCCAGTGTTTATGCTTGTCTTGAAGATTGTATGCATCAAACTTTATGTCTTATCAGTTTGACAAGATCAGGATGTAAGTCTATGCAACTCCTTTGAACATCAAGTTCACAGAAATGGCAGATCTCTCATTGTCTCCTGTCTCTGCACGTCAGTCATTTCAGTGTCCTTTCTGCTCCACTCCCTTGATAAGCTTTATTTGAAGACAGTATGAGCCTTTGCCAGTCTCACCTTGTGGCTTTCTGCAATGGCACCTCCTGCCTCTTTAGAAGTAAAATGGAAAATTGTCTTCCAAAAGGGTCCTGTCCCTCAAAATGTCCAACACCGTTGTTTGCTGCCTCATCCTTACAGTGTGCTGCCTGGAAGCACTGTGTGTGCAGGAACAGAGTGATGCATTTGGAGTTCACAACAATGTCTTTTGAAATTTGTACCATTAATGTCACATCCACCATAGCCCCGATATTCTTGTGTCTGACGTCACACACAGAGAAGGGGGGAAGAGCACAGTCTAGGAAATGACTGTAGAATCTCAGACACTGACAAAGCTGGAACTTGTCAGTCCTAGAACCACCTCTGGGTGCAGTTCTGCCACAGCTGGTTTAAATCTGGCCTGGTTGTGTCTACCAGCACTACAGGACAGAGATACTCCATGGAATATATTTGCCTGTCATGACAGGTCTGCTAACAATTATTTTTAATATCTCACGGTTTGAGAGGCTGTAGCATCTAAGAAGTGTCTCCTCTGGTTAATGTTCAGTGGCCTGATGACACAAGGTTATCCCTGCCTTCCTTAAATGACTGTCAAGGAAAGGGACTCTGCAGCACTACAGGTGAGTGCCTTTCATTAGAGGCACAGCTCCTGTTCATGCAAAGAAATGCAATCCCTTTTCCTTCAATTTATGGTTAGGTGCTGCTTGTGCTAATTTAAGGAAAGGTACATGAGAAGAGGAGTGTGTGCAGAGCTGGGGGAATACAGTTCCCACCATTACTATCACAGCCTTCTCACAAAGGCTTTCCAGTAACAGTTCACACCATCTATTTTTATCCCCAGCTGCAATGAAGCTAATAGCTTGCATCAGGGTCGTTTTGACGCTGGGTGGAAGGCCTAAACTCTCTGGTATTTAGGCTGCAGTATCTGCTAGAAGAGCTTTTTCACACACTGTGCCTAATTCTCTATTGCATTTAAACTTCACTTTAGCACAGTAATAGGCCTTCAGCTGGGAATACAGCAATTCGTGTCTCTTTGCACAATGCAATGTAAAGCAAGATTGGTGTGAATAAAAACCTGCTTGTGTATGCCCTACATAACACAATTGAAAAAGAAACCAAGCACCTCTTGAAACAGGTGGATATTTGCTATTTTCTGCTAAGGTATTTGCGTGTCTTTTCTTTTTTTTTTTTTTAACTGAAGAGCAGAAAAGGATGATGTCAGTGGGTTTTATCCCTATGTTTTGTTTATTTTTAGAAATGGACCAACAAACAACCATGACCTAAATTCTACAAGACAGAAATGCACACAAGCACATTGTTTAATATCAGAATGTATTTGAGTTCTGACAATTTCAGCAGAACTGTACACATATATCTTCTTTAAAAGCAGACTACAAAAAACTAATTCACCAATACAGTGAAAGTGAACTGCAAGGTCTAGTATTTGAGGCAGTGAACTCAGCCCTTTAACTTTTTTGTTTTCATACACAGATAATGTGCAAATAGCATTAAAATTCAGACATAAATCTGTCAGAGGCAAAAAAGAGATGACAGCACTTTTAAGTGAGCATCAGTTTTATACTGTCATTATAGGAAAGCTGGAATCAGGATGGAACAAGCTTCAAACTGGGCATGTGCGGACTCTGCCCCCTCCTGTATTTAAATGGAAGCCGCTGGTGCTGCCCTTTGCTAAGCTGGGGATGGACTGAAGCAATCTGAAGCTCTAGTGAGAAGCTCTGCACTGGATCTCACACTATTCCAAAGAATCTAACAACCTGCTTTGCACACACACACACACAAAGGTAAACTGGCTGACTTAAATTCAGAGGACAGCTCTTCTTTCTTGGTTTTTGCTTAGATTTTGTTCACTTGAATAATCAGCCCATCCAGAGGGGGATCTCTTGACCCTCTGAGGAAGCCAACAGCACCAAAATTGTGGAGGCCTTCAATGCTTGGAATGACTCGGAAGCCAATGCCTACACACTCATGGATCTGCCTCTTAGAGCCCCAACAGTAAGTGTTTTCTGTCACTAAAAGCTGTAGCATATAGATCTCTGGCAAGGCTGGCATTTATAGGACTGTAAATGGACGTTTAAGGAGCATGTACACATTTAGTGCTGTAATGCAATAATGCACAACATAATGAAAACTTTTAAATCCTCTTTTTATTCCTTAAACTATTTATTTAATGCAGAAAGGACTGCACAAGCAGTGTTTTTCAGCAGAGTTACACGGGTAGAAGGCAGAAAGGAATGGCTGATGGCACAGTGCATCCAATATGTTGCAAACTATCAAAACGTTCTTGTACATTGAACAGCTGTTTAGCAGTTCAAACACAATGCTCTCTTGTGTTATTATTCAGGATGGAAATCCCCATCATTTCTGAAATAATCGGTATGTAAGTGCAGTGGAGTGCTTATGTCAATGTTAAAAGAGTTGTTATGTGCAGTTACCCAAGAAAGTTTTTCCCAGGTAAGTCCTATCAAAGCTCTTTCTCAGTTTTTAAATACTGAAGAGAAAGAAAACTTCCTTGCAAGTGTGCAGGTGAGAATCTGTTGTGGTGACACTTCAGGATGGAATTTTTTGGGGTTTGCTAAAAATATCCTCCATCTGACCCCACAAGCCTGAACCAAAGGAGTTCAGAGGTCCTCTGCCTGTTTTTGTCTCTCAATATGCTATCAGAACTACAAAGGTTTGTTCACCTGCTGTCTATACAAAAGCCTGTTTAAAAGTATATAATAAAAATATGACCCAACCTAATTTTCAAAGTTTTTAAAATCTAATTTTAATAAAACCTGGATGTGTGAAGTGTATTACAGAAAAATTAACAGAGAAGTGTCCTGAGCCAAGGCGCTTACACACTCAATTAGATGGATAACACATGAAAGAGGATACCAGAACATAGCAGGGAGAGAAAAAACGGACTGGAGAGAGCATGGCAAAATGGAAAAGGATTCTGGGGATGGAGTGATTTACATTGGAAAATTAAAAATTGATCTTTGACTTATTCTGCTGAAAGATTTAATTAGCTGTCTGTTTCCCCTCCCTAGGTAAAGTGCCTGTATTTCCAAACTTTTGCGGTTTAATTTGACACATAAAACTGGTTTAAGAGAGTTTCAGGACTGAAAGCAGAATGCGCTGCTCGTGGCTGAGATTAAATCTGGAAGATAGGATACAAAATCTACTATCCAAATTGCTCAACAAGACAAACGTCATCCATGGAAAGCCCTGCTGTCAACTGGAAAGAGGGCTTAGCAGTCAGCGTCACCCTGCTGAAACCGTAATTGAGGTGGGATTACACTCCTGTCTGTGCTGCCTGTCATCACAGAGCAACTGCCTACAGAGGCAAGCTCAGAAATCAGAGTGAGGACCTGTAAGGAAAAATGAGTGCTCTCAGTTGTTTGAGGCCTCTTGTAGGTAGGCAGTACAAACACCGCACAAGAAACCCCAGGAAATGGTAGTGTTTCTGATCTGATAATTTTTCTAAACTATAGAATTTGTTGTAATGTGAAAGGCCTAACACATTGGTTGGATAAGTCATACTGTGTAAATAAGCAGCTTCCTTACCTGTATTTGTAGGAAAATTAACAACAAAGGAAGCTGTTATATTGCCAAAGTCAATGTCAGACTGCCAAAACTTGCAAGTGTTTTGGAACTGGGCTCTATTCCATTCAAACATTAATTCTGCAAAACCAATGCCTCCATTGTCAATTCATAAAAGCCACAGCATAGCAGTCCCTATTTCCTTTTCCTTTTCCCTTTCCTTGTCTTGTTTTACACCAAATTAGATACAATCCATCTGCCATGTTCAGGCAGAAGTAGCTGAAAAATGTCCTTGTTGTAGTCTTTTCTATAGTTTTTCGGAACTTTTTTCAGAATTGTCTTGACAAACTTCATGGTGAAATACAAGTTCTGCCCTACATGCCCTAATGAATCTGCCCTGCAGCTGATTAATTTTTACCCTTTCTGTGCTTGCACTAAGCCTTAGCAGGAGGGCCTGTGCTCTGCTCTCTTCCTAAAGAAGGAGGCTGACTCCTCAGATTGTCCCTCCAGGAAGAATTCTGCCTCCCACAGTAACAGCTGTGGCAGCTGGCCATAAATAGAGAATAATGAGGCTCCATATTGTGTTCCAGCCTCCACAGGCAAGGCCAGAATGGCAAGGATTTAGACATATCTCTCTATAACACATTCATTTTTCTTCAAACTCCTGAAAAGCATCTCAAGTTTATAAGCCTCAGTCAAGTTTACTGAAAGACAACTGAAAACACAGTTCTATTTTAGCTGTCTTGTTGTCGGCAGTATACAAACATTCCTTTAGGGAAAACAGGGAGCATTTTAAGAAGGCCAACTGCCTTAAACCGAACTGTTTGCCTCCACTCTAGTGTTTCCACAAGGACACTCTTAAACCTGCTGGAAGGAAACACATGAATGTAGAGCAACTTCATGACTTCCTGACACTGCATCTACTGAGGCAAATGATAGGGCAGGATTTAGCAATGGATTACACTTCATATGGAGGATAAAAATATGCTACACTAACATTATCCTTTCAAAGGGTTAATAACCCTGTTTTAGGGTACAAACCAATTACTAAGACTATTTAAAATAAAATTCCCACGTCACTGTTCATTCTGCATGTTTCGCATCTCTATGAAGCCCAGTCATGGCTAAAGGCAGGATAATGTTTTGTCAGGAATGCTCATCTGAATTGGTTAACCAGAGTAAAATTATTTATTGATTCTGCAAAACTATAGTCTAAATAAATAATAAATGACATATCTTTCAGAGATTAAAACCCATGATTCTTACACAGCTGTAGTAAAAGGCCTGTTTTCATATGTACCCAAACAAAATTATAAAACCTACTTTTAACCTGGTAAAGGTTGAGAGTTTGGGTTTGTTGAGCCTGCAGAAGAGAAGGCTTTGAGGAGACCTCAGAAGTCTTTCAGTACTTAAAGGGGGTCTACAAGAGGGAATTCTTACAAGGACACAGTAATAGGACAAGGGGAAATGGCTTCAAACTGAAGGTTTAAATTAGGTATTGGAAAGAAATTCCTTACTATGAGGGTGTGAGGCACTGGAACAGCTTGCTCAGAAAAGCTGTGGATGCCCCATCCCTGGAAGTGTTCAAGGCCAGGCTGGATGGGGCTCTGAGCAACCTGGTCTAGTGGAAGGTGTCCCTGCCCATGGCAAGGAGGTTGGAACTGGATAGTCTTTAAGGTCCCTTCCAACCTAAACCATTCTGTATTTCTATGGACACCCCCAAGTCCTTCTCCCAAGGGCTGCACTCAATCCATTCTCTGCCCACCCTGTATTTGTGCTTGGGATTGTCCTGACCCACATTTAGAACCTTGTCTTGGCCTTGTTGAACTCCATGAGGTTTCACAGCCCACCTCTCAAGCCTGTGCAGGTCCCTCTGGATGGCATCCCTTCCCTCCAGTGTGTCAACCACATCACACAGCTTGGTGTCACCAGCAAACCTGCTGAGGGTGCTGATCCCACTGTCCCTGTCACTGACAAAGATGTTGAACAGCGCCGGTCTCAGCACCAATCCCTGCATTATGAGATGTTTGTAGGAAGAAGGCTGAGCAGAAAAGCAAGGCATTATCACTGCAACTGAAATAGCAGCTCGGAGTATTCTCACAAGACAACTGCAACAATACAGGTTGCAACAGCGGGATTTTTATTCTTCCCTTCCAACCAAGTACTGTGGGAGGACAACAGAAGATAGAACAAACAAGGCTAATGCGCTGGAGAAACTGAATAGAGAAAAGCTTTGGGAATTAACTGATTTCTTGATTATCCTGCTGACCTGATTTTCTCAAGCATTATCTTTCTCTTCCATCCTTTCTTTTGACATGCAATTCCAATAGAAGTTACAGAGCTGAACTTGAGACAAGCACATGTTTTTGTCTTGTAGTAAGGAAGCTGTAGGTATGCAATTTAGCGATGAATTTTTAGTCCTTAAGCCTGAGCTAATGCTTTCTTGGTCAACTAGTAACCTTCTTTGACTGACACAATCATAGAATCAGACCTGTATTTCCAATAAAAACAGTGAAATTAATTTTTTTAACAATTGATTTTTACCTTTTAGAGAATAACCAGAGTTGTACCCTCTGGGAAAAAATCTAAGTCCTAAAGAAGTCCATGCTAAAATGCTAATTTATTCCTTTCTGCCACAGATCTCTTTTTTTTGCCCTTATATGTAGTATAATTCATGTCCTTTAACTGCTCCAGTATAAATATTACTCCTTTATTTTTCCCACACTTGACATTTTTATTGACTCTGAACTTGTTTCACTTGTGAATGTCACTTAAGTCTTCTACTTTCCCTTAAGTAACCTTGCCTCTCTTGTGATTTCTCTGTGTATTTATATTTGCCTTTAAGTTTTTCTTGTCCTTAGTCCCACAAAAATTTAATTCAAATTAAAGCCATTCTAATCTGTTTTTTGTAGCCAAAACAATCTCCTTTAGTTGCTTCATTTCTGTAACATTGATCCAGTTCTGATTAAATGGGTAGCTACAGGGAAAAAACATCAGGAATTTCCATTCCATTAATTATCATAATTAACCCTCTGTAGAACAGCAGTTTAAAAATTTTCTAGCCACAAGACTAAGGAGAAATTAAACCAACCCAAACCAAAGAACACCTGATCTCATTTACTTAAAACAGTTTTATCTCAGGCTCTCCCTATCCACTTGTTATTAGTATGGGATTATTTTGTTAGTTTACTGGCAGTGTGTTGAGCACAGCAATTTCCACCTAGGCAAGGTGCCTATTGATGTTGATGATGTGGTACCAACTTACACTTTGCTGCAGAAACCTGAGCAGTAAATGCCGTGATACTGTTATCCAGTTAGTGTATTAACCTTAACAGTCTTCTCCAATTACCATAACAGCCAGAGCTATGTTTTCTCTCTCTAAGATCAGAGTATTTGTCCAGCATTTCATTGCTGCTAATGTAGGAACCCAGGGAGTGCACTCCAGTTGTTGAGGATTGCTGCGGGCAGACCTTCGGCACACAAAACAAAGACAATCTCTTCCAGAATTCCAGACACTCCTGGGGTTCACCTCTTGTTATTGGCACATTGGTTTTAAATACACACTGTCTCTGAGAACCATACAGCTGTAGCATAAAAGGCAGAGCTTCATATCAACCTCTGGGCACTTTCCTCCTTTCCTGCTAGCAACCGTCCTTTTCCTAGAAAGGAATGACTGCACATGACAGCTGTACCCCCACCTACCAGTCCCTACGATTGGAAAGAACATATCCAGCCTCAGAGCACTACTGAAGTTTGGTACAGGCACAGACCTTGGTGTAGGCAATTCCCTTGTCCTGGGTCCTAGGCCACAGCCAAGTTGACAGTATTCACAGGAGGTAGGCTAAAAAGGATTTCCTGGTCTTTTCACAACCCTGGTGTGATTCTGGAAGCTCAGTAGCTGAGGAATGCCATGGCTGCAGCTTGCAGGCTTAAGCTACAAGCAGAGTGAGTGGCCACCCTTGATGAGAAAAGCCTGGCTGTGAAGAAGTTGCAGGTGAATGAGGATGTGACCTGGTATTTTTCATGACTCCATTAGCTGGTTGGAGCTGATGCCAAAAAGGTGTCTAGGACACTGGCAGATGCACAGAGGTGAGTGTTTAAGTCTCCTCACCTGACCTTATGTCAAAAGGCAGCAGAACAGGAATAATTTGGACAGCTGTTCTTCTCTTCAGTTTCTATCAGGTCATCCTGTTTCTTGGGTGCAGCCTTATAGTTTGCTTCATTGCTTCAGTCTTGGCCTAAAATGTTTTTGTGACTCCTCATACTTAAGTAAAAAAATGTTTTAAAAATTATTTAAAATACTGTAGTCTTCAGACTTGGCTACAGAATTTGGCTCTGAGTTATTAATTGATTAAGACACAGATGCTTTGATCAAAGTGCTTTATGAAATACTTCCCAGGCAGCAAAATACTTTTACTCAGTGCAGAGCAAAACCAGAACTGGTGTGGAAACCAGGCATAAGGTATACAGGGTTTGTGTTTTAGTTTTTTCCCGATCCTTAATTTAGTTTCCAAAAGACTCTTGTCATGCTCTTTGTAATCAGCTCTTGAGGGCAACTTGCAATTCAATGTTATTCAGTGGGAGAAGTGGAATAGCCATACTGCTAAAAGAGTGAACACCTATTTCTCCATAGATCATTTCTACTTAATTAGAGTCTATCCAGTGATGTCACAGGACAGCAGAAATCACACTTCACAGGTACAGAAACTTTCCTGAAATGAAAACTATAGAAACCTTACTTGTTAAATACTGCATTCCTTGATGTCATGCAGTAATGTGATGCAATGAAATGGATCCCTTCCTGTCTCTTTTTTTTCTCCTCTATATCCTTATCTTTCTTTGGGGAGGGAACAGGTTGCTTTTCTGTACCAAAATTCTGAATAAACACCAAATACATAAAGTGCCCTTTGCACTGTTGATGGCATATTTATCCCCTGAGGGTTATCAACAGTAAATGTAGTTTGAAAGCCATTAGCTTATTCTGACTTTTTTTGCTTGCTGTCTTTTTGCATTCTGGACCGTTTCCTCTTCCAGAGAAGCACATGCCAGCTTATTCTGAAGTCTGGCAATATACCTATGACCTCTTGTTTGCTCCATAGAAGATGACAGTGCAAGATGTTCCTGATGCCTTTCCTACAGTGGATGTCCCAGACCATGCCCATTATACGATTGGAATAGTCATTCTTATAGTGGGGATCACAGGAACTCTGGGTAATTTCCTGGTCTTCTATGCTTTCTGCAGGTATTTTTCCTTTTGAATGTCTTTTTAAATATTCAAATATAAGAATGTTAACCCTACCTAGTGCTCTGCAAACACGGTGCAGGCATACTATCAGACTGCTATGCAGGCACAGTAAAATGCACCAAGAGACATGGCTGTAGGAAAAGAGGTGGCAACCTGCCATTTCCCTCTGACTTCCTCCCAGTACCCACAGCCGTAGAAAAATGGTTAGCAAAACTCCCCAGAATCACCCAGATATGCCAAGTAGTAGAAAAGCAGCCAAAGCAGAAACATTCATTTTTTTCTACTGCCTGAACTGTGTCTGCACTGGACTGATGGGCTGGTTTGCACCCCTGTGTCCCACAAATCTCTATTTTTGATGCATCCTTCTTCCTGCTTTTAGCTACTCAGTTTCTTTTCCCCCTTTGTTCCTTAGTGGCCATGCCCCATTTTTTTCACATTTTCTAGCACTTGGCTTATTTCCTTTTAACTAAAGCCACATTCCAACTCTTATATCTGAGGGAAATTTGTTCTCTGGCAACAATGTTATATGTCCACCATGTCCACCTGTGTCTGCTTTGTCACACTGAGGCAGAGCATTGGCATCATGTCCAGGCTGGTGAGCTTCTACTGTCTGATTGGTCTTTAGACACTAAGTAATAAACCAAAATAACAGCAATTACATGATAATTTGCCAGGGTTAACTCACATCACTGGAGTGTGGAGGAAAGTAGTCTGGGTCTCAAGTCTATATTTATGGGTGCGTTAAATGTTAGGTTTCAGCATGTGCATTCAAAGTAGATACCAACACTTAAGTGTGAATGACAATGGCCTTAAGAACAGGAAAGGGTTGGCATGCAGGTCAGATATGTGAGGATGAAGGATGTGTGCTGGCTTAGCTCTTTGCTGATCCCATAAGGGAAATCCAGTCACAGCAGTTGCAGTTCCACTGGAGGACACAGGTTGTCTTCACTTCAAGGTGTTATGAAAACAGAAAGGGATACTGATAGCAAAGTAACAAGTACATCAGAAATTCAGAGAACACTTCAGGTGCTTACAAAGCAGTCTCAAGTAATGGCAAACAGTAAAACAGCCATTACTGTTTCTGTTACTGCCTGAAACAGAAATATGTTCTGTAATTTTGCAGACTATGGAACCAATACACACTGCCCATAAGCACCTACCAATAATATCTCCTTGCTCCTAAATTGACAGATAGGGGACAGTAGTTCTAGAGATTGATTCTGGACTAGTGCACAGAACCATCATTTATTCAGGCCATTTTCAATTGTGTCTAAGACTGAAAATTTGAGAAAGGAGCTAAAAAGTTACACTAAGCCCCAGAGTGAGGAACTCTCCATTGAGATTTTATGTGTACTCTTTAAAACACTGCACTGTAATACTAAGAATAACATACACAGGCAGGATGCACTGAAGGCTGGCTATTGCTCTCTTTAAAGTCAATGTTCAGGCCAGTGAAATGAGTGTCACAGAGAAGAACTAATGTTAAACAAAATGCTTCATATGGTACATTGTGAGTTTGCTTAATCCCTGTATTTGGAAGTCACTGTTGATCCTATCAGCAGTGGAAAATGCACTCCCTTCTCCTGCTTGACACGACCCAGATCCAGAAATCCATACTGTACATCGACTTTAATTTCCTGTTAATCATGGACATGCAGTGCACTGGGTTAGAATATTTAAAGAACAATATGATTTATCCCTAACACTGAGCTGGTTATGAGAACAATCCTTTAAAGTGCGCAGGAGTATAAGGGTGTAAAACTGAGCCTTGCTTGTGTTCACTCATGAGGGAAATGAGAAGCACTCTACTCTAGCTTACTGTGTAGCATTCCTTGGTATTTGTGAAGCTGCCAAGGCTCACAGGAAAGAGTAACAGCACAATTAACAGTGCAGGAGTGTTTAGCAACATCTCTTCTGCTCTTTTTAGGACTAGGAGCCTTCGGACTCCAGCCAACATGCTCATCATCAATCTGGCTATTAGTGACCTCCTGATGTCCATTACACAGTCTCCAGTTTTTTTCACCAACAGCCTCCACAAACGCTGGATTTTCGGTGAGAAAGGTTTGTATATGTTCTTTCTAAGACATCACTATTTATGTTCTTACCATAGTGGCAGTTAATCTATTTCCTTATTCTCAGGTACTCTTGCAATGTTGAGAATGTTTATCAACATTGTTTCAATGTTGACATAAATATTCCTTTGAACTTTTTTGTCTGTGTGCAATAAATACATTCCCACCAGAAGAGCAAAATTACACGAGACAGATCCAAAGGCAGCATTGGCAATGTGAGGCACAACACTACTCTCCCTGCCAGCATTCTTCCCCAGTCATCTCAGGACCCAGTTACTTTGTCCTGTGACAAAGAAGCAACGCCCCTCAGCACACCAGCTTTAAAGCTCTTCTAAATAACCTGCTCTGGGCCTTGCACTTGGCAAAGTGAGGCAAGAAAGGCTGGAAAACGTGAGTTTTCACAACAGAAATATTAACTGAACACTTCCTGTGTAGTAATAAAATGTGGAATGCAGGTGCTTTCATTCTTCCTATATAACTGTTGTAAGAGGAAGACTAGTCTTTGCCTCTTGAACAGATACTGACAAAGAGTATTACTTCTTAGAAGTCAGGGAAGGAGAGTTGCTATTTTGATCTCTGATGACCAAAAATGTATTTTTTTAGTTCCATTAAGTGTTCATTTGCATACATGTTAAAATAAAAACCCAATCCAAACCACTGCTTTTAATCATTAGGTTGTTTGAGCAATTAAATTCACTCATTAATATATTCATAGTCTGAATATTTACTTCAGAAAAATTACTCATTAATATATTCATAGTCTGCATATTTACTTCAGTTATGCTGACCTTGAGATATGAATTGTTCTATGATACCAAAGTAACTAAAACCCACTGTTAAGCCAAACAGCTGTTTCTATGGGAGCTGCAGTAAAACTGGATTTAAGCAAGACACTAATTGACAGCAGAAATGATCCCACTAGAAATATCAGAAATCAATGAGTGAAAATATGTTAAGTATCACTGTCTCCAGCAATTGAAGCAAACAAAATCTTTGAAGTTTATCTCCATGGATAATGTAATTAGTAAGACAGACAGCAGCTTTGAAATAGCATTATAACTGCAGGAAAACTGAAGTTTCATTGCTTTACAAATTCCAGGAGACATTAGTTCATAAGAAACACAGACTTGAACTCTCCCAGAAATTAATTAGCATGGGCAGATTAATTTCACTGCTACTTCTGTCATCTTCATTGAAAGGCTGTGAGCTGTATGCCTTCTGTGGAGCTCTCTTTGGCATTACATCTATGATCACTTTGATGGTGATTGCCTTGGACAGATATTTTGTCATCACAAAACCTCTGGCTTCTGTTGGAGTGACATCTAAGAAGAAGGCCCTAATAATCCTGATAGGAGTCTGGCTGTACTCTTTGGCTTGGAGTCTCCCACCCTTCTTTGGATGGAGTAAGTGAAATGGAATAAAATTTTTTTGCCCTCATAGCATTGGATTAAAGACCAGTTACAGGTACAGGAGTGGGTTGAATTAATGGCTTGCATATTAGTCTTGAATAAATCAACTTGAGAAAAACCCTGATGAAATACATGTTGAAACTGAAGATCTCTAATCAAAAGATAAAAATCCAGTGTGTATTACAGAATATTATATGACAATGGCACTTTCTCTTAAGCACATAAAGAACAGCAGATAAATTCACGACCAAAATTTATGAAGAATGTGCCTGCCTATTATCCCATGCCTACTTCTATTGAACCAAATTCAACAATATAAAAGTGAAATAAATGTATTTGTGCTATTTCTGAAGACTTTTTTCATCCTCAAAAGTGCTGTGTAAGACAGTAGTCAATCTAATTTTCTTTATTCACAATAAGGAGGAATACAGTCTGAGCATTTTGTGCAAGTACATCTTTAGTAAGTCTTGACTGTGTTCCAGATGGACAAATTTCACTAGGTATTGTCCACATTCTCCACTCAGCGATTGGTGCTGTCACTGAGGCTTCCAATAAGGATGGCATTTAGTAATAACTAAAATGCTTCTGTAAATGTGAATTTTACACCTGCAAATTGAAACACTCGTACAGCACCTTGATCCCTGCAACGTGTAACAAAGAGAGTTTCTGTTATTCTTCCTCATTTGAATCTGCCTCACTACCATTAATTTATTTCCTGTGAGTCACCAGTTTCAGTCACTAAGTTACAATGAACTCATCATTCAAAACCCCAGCCCATTATTATGCTCCCTAATTCCACAAGAGAATGTGTCTGCTCAGCTGAGGTGAGAACACAGACATGTTTGACTTTACTAAAGGATGTTGCAACCAACTCAGTTACTGAGCAGAATTTCAGCAGAATTTTGTTATTGTCATATTGTTGTCATCCTGGTGCCCCATAAACATGAAGCATGTTCAGGCAGGCAAACTGCAATATTGGCAGAAGCAGCCTTTAGTTGAGTGAGGAGCTGTTAGAACAACAAAATGACAACATAGTCATAGATTCTAGATTCTTAATTGGAGAAGGTGAAATAATTGCTTGAAGGGTGTTGTTATCTTTTAATTAGATTCTAATAGTGTCCACAGTATGAACTCTCACACTGTAATTAGATGCATTTGAGAACATCTGGTGCAATACTTTTAAGAGCTGAACAGAAAATATCAGTGTAAACAGTGAAAATTAAAATTCAAAGGTAAAAAGACATTGCTATTATCAATTTATTTACTGAACAGTTTGACAGTTCTTTTAAATAGATTGAATTTTATTTCACTCAGAACATTAGATATATACGATATTTTTTTTACTTGTACTCAGCTTTACTCCATGACAAAATTAATTTGATCTACACAATAAATCTTTCTCCTTTGTCCAGTAAATTTCTCTTACCTGCACGAGCTTAAAAAAGTGGTAGCCATAGCAATTGGTTTAACTCCTTGGGAGGACAGGAAATGGAGATACTTAAAAATAAATACAGGTCTGGTGCAAGACCCAGTAAGTATTTGGAGAGATGCCCTTTTATTATGATAAGCTTGAAACAATATTCAAGAACTGAAGCAAAATATTTAGTCCTTGGAGGCCTTAGATTGCTAAACATGAATACAATAGGACAACAGAGTAAAAGAAAATAGAGAGGTGTTTTATATGAAGAATTGTTTATCCTTTTAAACTCTTTTTGCCTTTCAGAGAATAAGACTAAATCCCATGTTATTCTGAGTATCTTTCTCTGATTTCTGCACTCAGAATAAGAATGACTTCACGATTTGTCTTCTCCTGTCTGTCTTTCTAGGTGCATATGTTCCTGAGGGGCTGCTGACTTCCTGTTCCTGGGACTACATGACTTTCACCCCATCAGTCCGTGCCTACACGATGCTGCTTTTCTGCTTTGTCTTTTTCATTCCTTTGATTGCCATCATATACAGCTATGTCTTTATATTTGAGGCTATCAAGAAGGCCAACAAGTAAGTAGCCAACAGTCTCAAATTTCTATCCTTCTGTTTAAGTGACTGTTTCTTTTCTTAAAACAAAGAAAGAAAGAAAGAAAGAACAGATGAAAATTGGGAAGTTTTTCACTTTTATTTTGTATGCACAACTGGGACAGGCAACCAGACAAGAATCATGTCAATAGTCAACATGGTAAGAAACATGATCCTTAGAAGTGCCATTCCTGAATTTAAGCCAGAGCTGTTCAGTATATTATCTAATGACATGGAAAAGGGTACAGAAATTAACCAACCATAAGAAATACAAAAGGGACATCAGAGACACCTAAAGACAGTGTATCAATAACTATTCCACAGAAAAATAGATGGAATTGAGCTACAAATTCCATGTTTGACAAAGGGTGACAAGGAGATAAAACGTTAATCACTGGTCTCTGAAACAAAAAACTATAGCTGTAAAAATCCAGGCCAGCCTGGCACTACGTGTGTAACCTGCAGGAATCTGCCCTGTCTGTACCAGCGGGTCTGGTCACTTAGCTCAGAAGTACAAAATGACAGCCAGGGAGAAAATCAGACCCAGGCAAACAAAGACTCCTCTAACTGTCTTTAACATAGTGTTATTCAACTGGGTTGAATACCTGTTTTATGTGGAAATTCTACTGGTACAGGACTACTTTCTTCACTGAAGCACATGTGAATTTTGCCACTGATAAGTGCAACAAAAGTGCATTGGATTGTGAAGCACCAGTCACATACATTAGCATGCATTAAAAGTGCAGGAGTTTTAGCCTAAAGTAGCAGAAGAGTAATTGCTGCCCCACTTTATGAAGCTATTTGCTCAATTCCCTACTTTTGTTTTTTGCTGTTGTATGTTTATTTCCTCTAGGTCTGTTCAGACATTTGGAAGCAAACATGGAAATAAAGAGTTCCAGAAACAGTATCAGAGGATGAAAAATGAGTGGAAGATGGCCAAAATTGCACTGATTGTCATCTTGCTTTTTGTCATTTCCTGGTCACCATACTCTGTTGTTGCTCTGGTAGCTTTTGCTGGGTAATTATAAATGTATCAGCAAAGGAATATTCAGTGAAAGCAAAAGCTATGAAATAGTAAAAGATAGATGAAAGTCAAAGCTACTTGTCAAGTTTAATGTCTGAAGTGTATCCAAAATATTCACCCATTTAGGAGTGATATTTAACAAACAGGCACATGCTGACTGTGATTTTTTTTTCTTAGTTTGACTATAAGAAAAGTAAAAAAAAAAAAAAAAGAGAGAGAGAAAGAAAATAGGAATGTTATTAATGTTATTGCTGGCAACATAAACTACCATGCTGAAGACCTCTGAATGCAGATTCTCTATGCTAGGAAATTTGAACTATCTGAACTTTATTTAGCACCAAGGTACTAAATAAAGGGCCCCAAAAAGATCCACCCAGGGGTTTATTCTCTTTTCTTTCTCCACTTCTTTTACTTACAAAAGTCTTTTCATTTTGTCATGTTACAACAAACTGCTGAAATTCCTTACATGTATGAGCAAGTTCAAAATTAGTACATACTTGCATTAGGAGCTTTTTGATGCTGGATATAAAAGATCCTAAATATAAATCATCAAAGCACATTCTTCATCTATTTAATTGTCAGCATTTTATACAGCAATTTCAACAGAAGCATGATAGTATAAAACAGTATCTGCACACAGCTTCACACCAGACTCTAGTTGGTACAATCCAGGCACAAGTAATGGATTGAGAGTCCAGATGCCTTGGCTCTATGTGGTTATTTCTCCCACATTAACATGTGAATTTTCCTGTGCTTCAGTCCAGCCTCTGTAAAACGTGTGACTATCTGCTTCAGGAAGGCTTGTCACCTGCAAAACCTCAAGTGGAAGATTCCTATACCACTTCTCTCTGTATTTTTCAAGTCAGAAATAAAAAGTAGGTTTTCCTAAAATTGACTAAAATAGCTTAGGAAGGCAGTTTCCTAAACATAGCACTTCTAAAATCTTCTTAAAATCATAGGCTTAAGACGAAAAAATACTGAGAGAAGAGGATTCTCTCCCTTTATATCCAGAAGGGTAATTCCAAGCAGCAACAAACATTTTCTCCATGAAGGAAAACAAGTTCCTCACCTGGAAATGCAAATCCTTAGGATGTGTCCTAGTGTCCCATTTCCTGTCAAAGGGGGACTTAGGTACTGGATATCTCCCACTGGTGATATGTGAACAGTCAGACAGAAATGCAGCACAGCTACCTTGCAGTACTCTAAGAGATCTAAAGAAAAAATAAATCAGGAGATGCTTTCAGATAACCATTTTAGCTACATAGAACTGTCAGGCTGTCCTGTGTGATTCAGCATCTACCTTAGGAGAATCAAATCTGCCTTAGGAGGATCAAGTGCCTGCTGAACTTGACTTCTGCTCCATGTCTCACACTCACAAAAATTTGAACAAATGGACAATTTTGTAACTCTTCAATATGTCACAAATGAGCATTTGCACATTTTGCTCATGAAGATATCTGGGGAGCAATATTGCTTCATTCAGCTTTTTTTCCGTTTCTGAACTATGCCTTTTAGGCAATCCTTCTGGGATTTTTCAGAGATTGATGGACCGATGCCTCCTGTGAACTTTTATTACAACAGACTTGGATAAAATCACTGCATGCTACATCTAGAAGGCAGACAAGCAGTCTGTGTCTATAGCCTTGGACTAAAGACAACTCATCTGACAGAGCAACTTCACTTAGAGTTCACTTTACCAATGCAGGAAGAGGCCTTCAAAGCCTCTAAGGTGTATGGAGGATTTACCTGGTAGAAACTGAAATGTTCCTCTTATTTTGGTCTGAGCTGTTCTATTGACTTTCTTCTGACCAAGATTTGTGGACTACTTCAAGCTATATTCAGAAATTAACTGGCTGATAGCAGCATGGCAGATGATAGACAACAATTCCTTTATCCTTCAGAGTCGCATCACCTGCATATATGCATGGTCACAGTAACAAATGAGTGTAACATAAGAGACATGAAAATACTTTCCCTTCACTGTTTAGTTCAGAAAAATACTTCCCCTTCACTTTTCAGGTCATTATCAGGAAAAAAAAAAGAATAGAAGTAGATTCATCAGTTATCTTTCCCTATAATGCCTCATTCTTCACACCTCTTTAGTGACATATTACCCAGGAAGTGTATCTGCTGAGTTTGGAACAGTTGGATACCCTGATGAATGCACATTCACTTCTTGAAGGCTGACATTGTCCCTAGGCTAAACAACATGGGAATTACCACCACCTGAGTCATAGTAGTGAAGTGCTGCAAGAGAAGCCCCAAGAAAATCATACTTCTCAGAAATGCAATTAGACTGATGTTGATCTTTACAGGCAAAGCATGTAAAATTTGCTCTCTCACTGTTTAGGGACAGAACTCCCCTTTTACTCTCTCTGTAGGACTAATAAAGCATTGTCTTGCCAGTGTATATCTGCACAGACCATACAGAACTCAACACTAAATATATAATGTATTTGCATTACTCTAGGTATTCCCATGCTCTAACACCCTTCATGAACTCCATACCAGCTGTGATTGCCAAAGCTTCTGTCATCCATAACCCCATCATTTATGCCATCACTCACCCCAAATACAGGTAAGTTCGGTTTTATAAACTAAAACTTATAAACTATAAATCTGAGAGTAACTTTGTCACTTTCAGGACTAGCACCCCCACTCTCCCTCACCTGCTCATTTTAACTTGTAGGACAGCCTTGCCCTCCACAAGAAAACTTCTCAATGCCATATATACATCCATGGACTTTGTACTTGGAACAAATTACTACGCAGATGAGAGTTCAGAGATGTTTATGGATACTGATCTCTATTTACCTATTACATGATGAAAGATGGAAGCCTTTCCACCTCAAAGGAAAGCACCATAAATTTTTTAACTATCTTCATGAGAGAGGCAGACAGGAAGAGGAAAGCTGGGCAAGAGTTTCCTTACGTTGCATATGAGCAAAGTAATACTGTAATATAAGTACACATTTTGTACAACTCTAGAGATAGCCAGCAAACAGATGTGTAAGAGGAAGCTAGAATAGCTGCTTAGGGGAAGATTAAAATAATTAATTATGTGGGACTTCTGTGAGGTTCAGTTTAAAGGGACAGAATTTTATTTCTGCCCTGATTAAGCCGAAAGCAGATAAAACATTATTTTAACAGCTTCCTTCAGTTCCAAGAGTTATATTTTAATGCCCTTATCCTTGCCAGGCAATAATTTGAGTTTTCCAGAACACTGTGAATAAGTGATCTTGCAGGGTGATTGTAGATGAGATATCTGATATCTGGAAAACTCTTTTTATACCCAGTAATTTTCCAGTCCATGCAGCATTAGTTCATCTCTCTGAATAAATGCATTGTTTATGATTTTTGACTGAATAGTTGTGCTAACAGAAAAAAATCTGACTGGTTCTACCTCTTATCCATTAGAAGAGCCATTGCAACACATGTTCCTTGCCTTGGATCCCTACTGAGGGTTTCTCCCAGAGACTCACGGTCTTCCAGCAGTTATTACTCCTCCAGACGAGCCACCGTAACCAGCCAGTCTTCTGAGACAAGTGGGCTGCAGAAAGGAAGAAGGAGACTGTCTTCTCTCTCTGACAGTGAATCAGTAAGGGAGACACTTCCCATACACCCATTTTTAATTGCAAAGTAATTCATTTTCATATGGAGTCGTTCCAAGCGGTAGATTCTCCGGATGAAATGCATCACAGCGCTCATTACAAGAGCTCCAGAGAAAGTGGAGGGACAAAGTGAAATGAAAGACAGAAGGATGAGGTGTAAAAGAATGTAGGTCACTGTTTGCTTGATGGCTGGTGACACTGAAGGAAGAGCAGAGAGATGGAACAACAGGAATTTTAGAAAGTAAGGGAAGCTTGGAGCCAGAGCAGCCTTTAAAGCCTGACCATACTTTCAGCCTGCACTTCTCTGACCACAGGTTTGCAGTCTGGACACACACAAAACAAACTGCTCATCACTGGGTAGTTCTCTGGTGAAAGCAAGGTTGTAATGAAACAGATAATGCTTTCTGAAAGTGTAGTGTATTTGGAAACATATTAATCATTACATTTAGACAAATCAGTAAAACCATTACAGAATCTTTCTCACAGAAGACCTCAACAGGTGTAAGTGAAACCAAATGTTCTGCACAGCAGCTGAGAACAGGGCAAATATTTGGCATCCCAGGCTCTCTCCTGCAACCCAAAGTTACTTTACTAAGTAACTAACCACACTCATTGGTTCATTGCAATTGTTTTAAACAAAATTTCTAAATATATGAAATTATTTTCTTGGTGATTCTTTTTCACAGTCAAGATAATGATTGTATCTAATCCAGATAAGTGCTGAATTCTGACAGTTATTTCCAACAGTGACATCTCAATTTCTTTGCACTCCCTATTCTTTTGACTTCTCGGTCCAATCAAAATGAAATTCTTCTGGCTAGTGGCCACCATTCAGGTGGAAGGTTTTAAAACTGGCTAATAGAAAAGTGACATTTTTATGATGCATCTCTTACACCGTGAATCTTGATTCTTAAAAAAACAACCGACTCCTTTGGTAAGACTGTGTGTTCTTGTACTACTCTCAGTGCTGGGGAAGGAGAACCACACAAACAATTCATTTTGCTTAGGAAAGCAACTCTGAATACTCAAAATAAAATAATGGAATGGAGGACAAAAATTCCCCAAAGTAAAAAATTCCAAGCAATTGGCATGCTTCACTCTGGAATTTTCTATAGCCTTGAGTAAGTCTGAATCTTGTTTGGAACAACGATAGACCTGAGATTTTCTGGCAATATATGTTTCCCTATTTGATTTGGCCATAGAATACTCTAATTTATTAGTAAGTAATATCAGTTTAGCTGAATTACAGAGCAGAAAGAAGAGCTCAAGTTTGAGCAAACAAAAGTGTTTCAATGCTCACTGATTTGGGGTTTTTTTTGCACCATATGTGTCTCAATTAAGTTCTAAGATTTCTAGACACATACTCACAAGGCAAAAAGGCAGTACATATGCTGCCATGTGTTTTATGTCAAGGCTGATCATCAAACTGAAAGCTGATAAGATCATGTTTTTCTACACCTCTTATTTTTTATATTCCCTGGGGAAAGTTTATCAAAGTATCAATAATTAAAAGTATCAAATATTGAAAGTATCAATAATTGCTTTGAGTATTGCTTTGCTCCCATCTGATGGAAGCGACATCCAAAGCACACAGATTGCTTATAAAAAACTCTTGTGGAATGAAAAAATTGCGGAAAGTATATTACAGTGTTATGTTCCCCCATTTTAAGGTAAAGTCCAACAGAAAACAGACTGGTATGCCATGAGCTGCTCATCAGTCCCATTAACTCTTTCATTGTTTTGTTCTGACCTCTTGATCATTGTAGTGAAAAGGCTGACAAAGTGAGGAAAAGGAACAGAAGTTTTGACTTCTAGGAGATACTGGTGGGCTGGGGTTTTTGTCCTTTTATTTTTTTGTTTTCTCATTAATTGGAACAAAGTTTATAAAAACCAGGGCTCCTTCATGAAACAAAATGTTTCTAAAGAACTGATTCTGCAGTCTTGAGATATTTCCTTCTATTTATTTCTGCTTCCACCCAAGCCAAACTTTAGACATGACAGACTTGATAGTTTTGTACTTCTTATAAGCAAACATTTTATGAAGTCATATACGGCAGAACTTTTGTGAAATATCTTTTATACAATGTCTGTCTCTTTTACTGTTTCTATCTAGGTAAAACTGACTCTCATGGGGCAAATTGGATGAAAGTCTAAGGAACCTAGAGTGATTGTTTTTGCTGTTTTAATTCTAGGCCTGTACTGAAACAAGTACTCCAGACTTGCAAGTCTCCAGACTTGCCAGAAGACAGATTCCCTATGAAATGGGTAAAGACACAATTCCAACCAGTGACATAAGAGCCAAAACCAACCTGAAGAGCCAGGATTCTGGGATCTGTGAGAAGGTAATACACTGCATTCATAATACCTAAATTCTCTGACAACTGGCAAGTTAACAAATCTGCATATTGTACCATAACTAATCAGGAAGGTTCCTGCCAAGAAGATGCTGATAACCTGGGAGTTAACACAATGAGCAACGATTTAGAGGCTGTAAGAGGTCATCAGCTTTTTATTCCCACCCTGGTTCATTATTCTGCCGTCTTTGTTGTATTTCTGGTGCTGCTTTAGAAAACTTAGCATCTGAGTGGTGTGTTGGCTTGTGTTTGGTTTTAAGTGTCCATTTAGTAAGATATGTCTTTCACTGTCCAAATTACTTGGCCCATCTTCCTGTTGTCTCACCATTTGCTACCAAATGAGCACTTACAGTAAGATGTAAAAAAAAAAAGGCTATTTTAGCATACCACTACTTTTCAGTCAGTCCTCTGCTATCCTCTTTTTTCCCTATATTTTGCATTGTGCATATGTAAAATATTGAGACTTACCTATATGCCATTTATGTCTTTCTTATCTGTGTTCATTTTTCAGACATCAGTAGATGCTGATGACATATTGATGGTGGAACTGAATGTCAGAATCGCTACACCTACTGTAAGAACCATTATTTTAATATTTGGCGTGCATCTAAGTAACTGAGGGAACATAAACTAATGGCAGTCTCTGAGCACAAAATAATTTATTTTTTGAGATGCAAATATCACACAACACTCCCAGAAGAATGCAGAAAACATGACCACAAAGGGTAGATCATTGCTGAAACTAAGCAGAAGGAGAACACACATACTACAGGGTTCTCCTTAAGTCTAACTTCCTGAAGGAACCTGAATATTTTCTTGAATTAATAAGTCTGTGGAAGCAGACTTATTAGTCTGCTATTATTATTAGTGGAAGCATTAATTTATTAGTGGAAGCATTAATTTTGTGCCACCTTCCTATGAATAATATACACACTGAGACAGCCATAGTCCTGTGGCAAGTATTGCTGTACGAAGTGATGTTGTTAACTATTTAATGTTCTCTGTTTTGGGTTGCAGAAAACATCTAAAATGTGCAACCTGGAGGAAATCAAGGTCAGTTTTTGAAACATGCCATGTCACCTGTTCAGTAACATGTTGTTCTAGTGTCTGTTTCTTCTTCCGTCTAACACAGCTACAAACGTGTAAAAAAAACTGACATCTGTCACAAGTGAGTCAATTTGCCTTAATTCTTGACAGATGGAGGAATAAGAGCAAAGAGCTGACAGGTGAAAACAAGGCAGTTTTATCTCTGCAGTATTAACCCCAATGTAATACAACTATCTTAAATTATCTCTTCATTGTTAGCAGTGATCCTTAAGAGCTATTGTTAGCCTCATCCTATCTGACTTTTTGGTCCTGTGCAAATGATAGCTACCATTGCTTATTGTCAAAAATTGCTAATTAATCTTTTCCTCAATTCCTGTTTTCACCTCATTATAGAGTTTGCTTACCCCTTTAATCTATCCATGCTGTTATCATCACATTTTACATTACCTCTTGCCCAGAGAACCTAAACAGGTTCACTAAGCATATTCACAGCACTTTTGTTCATAGTTGAATGTGCTGTCATTAGTCTGGTCTTTCTTCAAAGTAGACCAGCTCTTAAGTAGCAAAAACAAAGTCTGTGCTTCAGTACATTAACTTGTTTAACAGGTTTTTTCTCGTAAGTTATTCATGAAATTTTTGAAAAAAATGTTCAGATCTACTTTATCCTCCATCATTTAAGTTGGTTTTGAGGTAGTCATGGGGCTCAGAAAAGTGCTTATCTAAATATATGCCACTTTTTCACAGATGATGCAATGTGATCTTGTACATGTTTTGGTTTTCCATTTCTTTTAAATCTCTGCATCTGTTTAGGAAGGTGAGAGCCTGAACAGTATTGGACAAAGGAAAGGAGAGTCTTGCTATGGATCATTGGCAGCTCAGATACCCAGCATTACAATAACATGCAGCAATGTCCAAGGAGTAGAGCTGCCTTCTAGATACAACTCTGGTTTCCTGTACCCTAAGACCAACAGTCAGAAGCAGAATAAGAAGCCCAACAGTTAAGTAAGTGAGTGGTGCAAGCCAGAATATCATCCTAGCCAATAGCTCTGGAACAGCTATGGACTGACTGAATCCAGAATACCTTCCTGCATTGTTCTGAAATGCCCCTACAGACACAACACAAGCAAGGAGTAAAGCAGGAAGAGTGATCTTTTCAGCATCAGAACTCTCTCCAGTGGTTCATGTCTTGATCTGAGTCACACTGTATTTTTTATGCAGCTCATGAAACAATTTCTTTCATGTGGATTTTACTCTGCTCAGGTATATTCCACCACTACACAGACCTTACCCACAAGCCTCCTAGGATTAACTTGAGAGGAAAGGGAAATACAATATTCAAAACAGGCCTTTGTTCACTCAGTGTAGTTTAACTTCAAAGCTATTACAGAGGTAAAGCTGAGAGATTTGGGGGAAACTGTACATTACCTCCTGAAGATGGTTTCTTCGTTATTGTGAAGTTTCTCAACCAAAAGAAAACTTAATCACACAGTCAGTGCTCCCCTCTCTCATCAATGATGTTTTACCCCATTTTCTTCTACAATCCAATGGAAAGGCAATGCACTTGAGTGGTAATTTAAAGTCTCAGATCTTTATTTTAATTTCTGAGACTCTGGGGAAAGAGAAAGGGATAACACTTGAGGACAAGGCAATGGTCCTTTCCATCCTTGGCTTCTTTTTCCAACAGTGGCTTAAGAGACCAGTTTAACCCAGTCTTACCCAATCTCCCCAGAGGTTCTGATATCTGCCTTCTGATACTTCAAAGTGGTTTACATTTAGATGTGCTTTTCTAAAGTAAATCTTGGGAGGAGAAGGGTTAGTTCCCTGAAAACAGTTGTTCTAGAGATGTGTGGAATCCACACCATCCCCACTTTGGCATTTCCATTTTTCCCTTCTCTAAACAGCAGCATTCATATGGTGAGGGTTTTTTCCCACAGTGACTGAATCCATGAGATTGTATTTATTTCCCTTGAAAGGAAAGGAAAAGAGTTTTATCAAATAGTGATTTTCAGCTTTCCCCTGGTGTTTCTTCTAGTGCGTAAGAATAAATGGACAAATTTCATTTGCAAATCATAGCAGTCTACATCACAAGAATTATGAGGAATAGACAGTCCAAAGTGGGGATACAGACCTTCTGAGCCCAAAAGAACAGGGCACAGAGCTATTGAAACAGATCTTCTCTACAGGCCCTCCAGCAGTTCTCCCATTGGTTGCAATAATAGAGGGAACCCAGCAAGGCATTTTGTCCTAAGTAAATCAGTTCTTCCCTATGTCAGATCAGAAAAAGCTATAAAATCAATAAAAATGTAACCAGCTTATTATTTTGAGGGGGGAAAAAACGTAAATTGGTGGGTTCCAGAAGACTTGGGGCATTGTTTTGAAGCACACTTTTGGAAACTTACTTCAAACCAAGGTTTATTAAAAGAAAGGTGATTAAAACTAAAAATAAAGGTGATGATGGCTTCTGCAGCAGATGAATGTTAGATCATGAAAAAGTGGGCTGTTCAGGCTGGTCATAAACCACCAAAAGAAACACACTGTTCAAAATCCACAATGTTTTTATGTAAATAAAATCATAGGCATTAGAGATGGAAAGGAGCTATTACAGTTTCTCCCTTCACCCACCACAGCCGGATATTGTCTCCCTGCAGAGAACAATATTAAACTGATAATATATAAAGCCAGTAAAAAGGAGAAAGAAGGGAGAAAACATCCTCAGACAGGAAGTGTGCTCAAAGATATTCATCAAGTCTAAGGAATTCTATTATGACTTATTGCTTGGGCTTTTAAAATTATTTAAAAACATGAAGCATATAATTCTTCCTTTGTCATGAAGGCCTTTGACACTAGTGAAAAATGGGAAGAAACATTAGTAAGTGCTGCCTATTTCATATGGGTCACAAAAGACTGAACCTGTCAAGAAAAATAGGTCAAAGCTCACACATGCTGTTTCATGTGTTAACAAGGAGTGCATGGTATGTGTCATTAATAGCTAGATCCTTTGCTCCTGTCATGATTTTGTTCCAAGCAGTATTCTTGAAGACTACACTCTGCACACTTCTGCATTCCCTTCCACTTTTAGAGGGCATAAAAAGAATACTTCCATGGCTAGAAAAGCTTTACGAATCCACAGCATGTTGTTCTCTATATCCTTCAACTCCAACATGTATTAGAGATTAGTTTGTATCTATAAAAAGAACTACAGCTGTTCGTGCTCATCTACTTACAAGAGACTTGTAAAGCATATATTAATTAGGGAGAATTTGTTTGTGAGCACTTCAAAACCCTTGTGTGTACTCCTTGTGTAACTAACAGTTTTGCCTTCCCTTCACTCTGCTGAGACTATAAAAGTCATTCTGGGGAAAGCCTACAAAATTCATCTCACCTGAATATCTCTACAAGTGGTTCACACTGTAACCCCTGTGGCATTTGGAATAAATCATTATTAGTTCATATTTCACCTCATCTTAGCAGTTTTATTTGTGTCCTGCATCCTCTGCTTGGCAGCCACTCTCTTTGCTGTGCTGCCTCTTTACACCCTGTAACACAGATGACTGATTGGATTAAAATAATTCAGGACCGAGATGATTCACGTTTCAGTTAAAGTCAACTGTACAGCCTGTTCTGCAGTGCAGAGACCGCCTGTAGTTTACCATGCACTTGGATGTGTCCCAGTGCCTTGGAGGTGTGACAGGACTAGGGCAAAACTGAGGCGCTTCCCTTTGGCCTTTTGTACCAGAGCAGCTGTTCCCAGGGCAGGCTGCTGGCAAAGGCAGCAGCAGTGCTGTGAGCTGACAGACACGCTCTGCCCCTCCACGGGGGCACAAACTCCGCCTTGGGTCACAAGTGAAAATGTTTGGTCTGATCATTCGAGCAATTCTGCGAAACTGCTGAGCTACTGGTCACTACTGCTGGACCTGCAGAGAAGGTGCCAAGAGCCAGTGTAATAAAAGGCTGCTCCAAGTCAGGACTGGAGGACTGCATAAGGCAGCAGCCACAAGTTGCCAGTCTTTCCAACTTCCACATACACGCAGGGATCTTAGTCCCTATTTTTGCAGCTTACAGCCTCACTTTCCATACTTTTGGAAACTTTTGTACATCCACCGCTGAACTAAAAAGTGTCATCGTAGCACGTGACATTGAGTATTGGCATTTCACACATTCCCAGGTAAGACAGAATAGCAAAGAGCATTTTTTTTCACTTCATATGCAAAACCAACAGCAAGCTTGACATGCAGAAATAACCAAAGACACCTCCAATGCTTCAATGCTTTTTGGGGCATAATATGGGTAAGTCCCCATTCCCACTTGTGCCTGTTTTCCTCAGTGTGGCTGGTGCCATTTTTCACTTAGGCTGTTCCAAGAGGTGCTGCAATGTGGCCCCCATCCTGTGACCCCTCAGTGACTCTGACAGGGCAACTGTCTGTCTCTGCTGCTGAAACTGCTCCTTCCACAGGGCTTTATTGGGTGGGGCCCTTATCTGCAAGGCAATGTTTGTATCAGACAATGGTATTTCAGTGGCTGAGCAACAGGTATCTCAGTTCAAACACTTGTGTTTGTAGCCTTGCAGTTGTTAGTGTCATAGGAATGTGAGGAGTCTTATGTTATAAATAGGTTTATATAAAAGCAGTTTTAAAACACATAAATAAATTATTAATAGTGCCATCCCTAGTAACCCTAGACACAGGTCACAGTCCTGTACACTAACTGATTCCTGTACCTCCCTTACCCCGTCGAATTTATAACCTAAATACTCATTTTCAATCTTATGCAAACTTCACAGTTGTCAAAATTTATAAGCTGTGCTATTTACTTCCCTTCTATGGACAACAGACTGAGTAGAACATCAGTGTAAGCTTAATAAAGCCAGAAAAGTTTCTTCACAGCAAATCCAGCTTAACAGTCTGATACAAACCACAAACAGTAATAAGAAGATTTTTTTTCTCTTCTGTAGGAAAATACTTCTTTTAGTTACAGCAGTTCTGGTAGCAGCAGGGCTCTGCTGGAGGCACACAGCACAGGAATTCTTTGTACCTGGCCCAAAAGCAAAGCAAATGCTGCGAGTCACATCAATGTAGGAAAATGCTCACCTCGCTATGTATAGAGATGTCAAAATCTCTTACTAGACTACAAAGCTGGACTCATGGTGTTTGGTTCACATATTGCCTACAAACACTTCTGGCAATGAAATTTACTCTCAAGGTTAACATTCCCCTGAAACTGGGGGTAAACAGTAGGCTGAGAAGAATGGAAAGGGATTCACCCCTCTTACAGTGAATGTTTCCTCTCTACTCTTATGTTTCCTTTTTTTAATTATTATTTTTAAACTTACACAAACAGCAGTATCTATGTAGGTTTAGTACCAAAGATATTTTTGATGCCTTTCAGGAAAAGAAGATGGTTTGGAAATAGACCCAAAAATCTGAGACTACATCATTGTATAGCACAAGCTCTCCAATGTAAGATTGATTTCATAAAGGACATTTCCTGAATTAGTTGTGGGACACTTAGGGGCATACTTACAACTGCCATAATGTTTTCCACTGACTGGAAAAATAGAAAGGAAAATCCATATCCTTCCACACAGTGCCATGCCCAAAGGGATACAGAGAAAGTGACTGTACCTCTAATGTAACAGCATTTCCTTCAAAAGCCCCAGTACTTCAAAAATCTATTACAGATACCCAGATGCACCCTTTGGATTGGTATAACTGCTTTTCATTAAGTTTTTCAGATGCCTGAAGTTAATCAGGTGCATAAATATTTACACAACCCTTTAGGACACACAAGTGAAATGGAGGAGTTAAGAGTATGTTAGGTCAGTACTAAAAGTTACTAAATTTTTTAAATATTTTTCCAGGCTAGTATTTGCTGCTAACTCCATGGAACTGTACATTATTAAATTTTCCAAGTTTAGATTCTTCTCATTTTCCCTACTTCCCATAAGTGACCAGTCAACTCTTCACCAGTTAATCCACAGGGCCAGAGAGAAGGCCTGCACTCACTCTCTCCTGGGTAAGGGGGACTGCTGTGGAATAGCTGTTTCTCACCCCACTGCTCTTTGAAACCCTGATCTCTTGAGTGCCTGTAAGCCCAGGACTCAGCTCCCTTCTACCAGACAGGTCCTGCAGTCAAGCATTCCTTGACACTCATCCCAGAGACAGCCCTGCTTTCAGTATCACCATCTTCTTCTAGTTTTCACTAGTTCACTATTGTAGTACCCCTTTCCAAGCAGTCCCCAATGCCCTCGGGTGCCAAAACCAGCATTAATTAAACACAGCCCCCTCCTGGCTTTTAAAAAAACGATGTATGATCCCACCTTAACAGGCAAACAGATGGAGCCTGGGTTTATAATAACCCTCCAACTGTGATTTTAAAATATGAACACTTTTGATGCTGCTGTCCTCAGCTCAAGTCTCTGTGTAACAGAAGCACGTGGCAGAACCCTTAATGTGTATTGATACATCTTATTCGAAGTGCTATTTTCCAGATGCACTTGTTAAAACTCACTTTCTGCTGCTGCTGCTCAGTGAAGTAAGAAGAGAACTTAATCTGATGAAGGACAGAGCCAAGGTAGAAGCATCAGGCAGCTCGGTGGTTCATCACATTCACTGCAAAGATTCCTTTTGAAAATCATTCCTCTGAAAAAGAAAAAGCCACACCAGTCTTTCAGGTTTGGGATCATTGTGTTCAGTTAGATGAGAAATAAATTTCACACAGTAAAAGCTGCTCTCTTTGGGCACTGTAGATACCATTTATTTCACCTATAGGAATTAAAAACATGTAAAAATATGATGTAAACTTCATTGCAATAAATCACACTCACTTTAATTCTTGCTTTACTCCAAATTGCCATGGTAGAATATGCCCAAAGGCAAAGGAAGCAAATAAGAGAATACAATTCAGGATACCCATTAGCACTGCATCAAAATAAAGTGACCCCAAATAAACTGGGGAATCCTAAAATGCTGGAAAACACAGTAACTTTATATGAAACAGGCCTCTTCTCTTTCCCATTGTGGGCCACTACCAGAAAAGGAACTCGGAGCTACCACCTTGTGTTAGATTTCTCCTTGCTCCTTTCACTGACTCAACCATCCCTGATTTTTTCTCATGTGCAGGAGCCAGACCACAGTGATTTCAGGGCTAAGGAGGCCACAGTACATGTTACAGAGCTGTACTTTGCAGCTTCCCTTCATTGTGCTGTTTCCTGAAACACTGAGTCCCCATCACAGCTGAACCTGCTCCATTTTCACCGGGTCACAGCACAAAGGCAATTGCTTATTAAAGCAGTTCACGAACACGGCAATAGTGTGAGCTGCCTGAATTCCAGCTTTTAAAAATCAAATTACTGCAGGAATTTTCAAAATAACACAGCTGACTGTCTACCATCACTGGAAGGCATTTCTGGGAAACCTAGGAATTTGGGTTTACATAAGATCAGGGCATTTCTTTAGTCAAATTATGGCCAAGGCCAAATGTTTTTTACCAGAACAGCCATACAGGTAGGAACGGCATGATACCAGTAAGAACTTACAGCACAAGGATTCAGCCACACAAAGTGGATCCTGGTGGAATCCGGGTTTCAGAGAGATGTAATTTCTCATCCACTATTCAAGGAGAATTCTCTGAACAGAAGATCATGGCAGTTAAGCCACTTCACAGGAATCTTAAATCAGTTCTGAATTTTGTCAGTTAAAAGTGATAAAACAGAACAAAAAGGCTCATGGCAATAAAGCAACACCCTCTAATAAGCACTTTGTGTCTTTGTCACTACTTGCTTAAGATTTTCACAATATTAGTATTCCTTCTCCAGTTTTGTAGCTCTCAGGACTGGAGACAGAGATTTGAAAAAGGATTCTTCTAGTGCAAAGGATATGCAGTTGAACTTCAGCCACTGAAACTCTTTGGAAGTCCCAGCCTAAGGAATACTGCAACACTCCCAAGTATTAACATTTACAGTGCAAATTACACCACATTACACTCAAAATCTTGGTTTATTTGACAAGTCAAGAAGACCCTATAATGTTTCTCTTTCAACATGTGACTAACTTGTAGGCACTTGTCTTTCTACGCTTCCTCCTTCCCAGAGCCAGTGGCTTGGTTCCAGCAGAATTATTTGACTTCAGTATAATTTGACTGTTACTAATTTTTTTAATCTCAATTTGAAAGAGTTCATAAAAGAAAAAAGCTCATCACTGGAACTTTTACTCTGTTTCCTCTACAACTGATATCCAGCATGTAAAGGAAAGGGCTGAGTAACAAAACATGATAAATGGAATAAAGAAGAAGATATTCTTGTTGACTTGTCTGGGAGCTCTGTTCTTGTTAAGTCGTGCACTACTTTAAACAATGGGGCAATTGAAACAGGTTACTTATATAGTAGAATCCTGAATTTCTATCCTACTTGCCCTCCTCTAGGCCACTGAAACTCAGTTGAAAAGCTTGGCTGACCCTAAACAAACTTTTTATTACTGAAATTGCCAATAAAGCTACACATTAAATTAATTTATTTTACTTGTTGTGATTGAACAGAGGTGGTCAAGAACATTTTTTTGACATGGTGTGCCTTTCTCTATTAGTCCTTCATTCTGCTTCCTGCATGAAAACATTGTGCAAGGACAGAGCTGAGAGTTCCCATCTCATGAGTTGTACTTTTCACACCTGACCATCAAGACATTCTTGGTTTTCCTTCCTGTCAACTGAGAAACAATCCTCCTTCACACCTTTCAAACAGGACAAAAATCACCTCTTGGGAGAATCAGGCTAAGTCAGCCAGCACATTCCCTCACCCTGCCCTTCTTCCTTGGAGTTTAGTTCCTCTATTATTGTCAGCACAACCAAAACCACTAAGAAAGGAATGGGAAAATGTGTGAATGGAAACTAAGAAAACCTTGGTTAAATCATTATTAAATAGCCAAGTCCTCGCCTGAAACAGTTCTGACACTATTTTGTTGGAGCATTTGGCTACAGTCTCCTACCTTAAGTAGAAAATGTTTGCTTTTGCACACATTCTCGTGTGGATTTCTGTAACTGGCAGGGCAAAATGAAAGCATAAATGTACTAAATGAAAATTGTTGTGCTAGGTTTCAGTCTACTTTGTTCTATTTCCCTTTTAACATACATGCTGCTACAACAATAGTTTACTCCAGTTATCTATTGAGGTGGTGGTGTTAAACAAATTTGCTTTATGCTTGAAGAGACAGAAAAAATTCTGTCTGAATTGCAGATGCAACCCTTTGAAAAAAACCCATGTACCAGCAGTCATTCTTCAGTGGCTGCTAAGTTAATTTTAAAATAATTATCTTTACCTGCAACTACAATGGGGCCAAAACATTACTTGTAGGCCACTGTGAAAAATGCCACTGAGGCAGTTCACATGTTCTGTTCACAGTAAAATGAAAAATTCTCAGAAAACTGTGGGTCATTTTGCTCCTCCTTTACTGCTTTGATGCAGTGAATTTATCAGCAGCAGAGCAAAATATTTGATAATTCTGGTTTAAGTGGGTGAGGTGGGCAGTCTTTCTTCATTGGATAATCTAATAATATATCCCTTTGTAAATACCTCTTTTAAAAGTTTCTGGGAATGTGTATTTTAATGGTCACACACTATTTTAGTGCTCAAGGAAAAGTGGTGCTTGAGTTAAGCCCTTATTTGGAAGAGCCAACTGAGTCACAGTATTCTCAGCAAAGTTTATCCTGGTCTTCAGATGTCACATTTGAAACTGTTTCAATAAATCAATGGCTCAACTGAACAAATCATCAGATCAAGGCACCAAGTAATCAAACTGAACCAGACTGACACTCAGCAGACACTGCTTGGGGTAAGCATCAGGCAGTGAGTTGTGAGTGAGAGTATGGCATTAACTCTCTCTGGGACCTGGCAATTCAATTTAGTGCAGTGCTCAAGTTTATCTGTAAAAGGGCATGTCATTTACTCTTGGAGTGCTGCAAGGCCAAATTAGGAAAGTTTTGCATCAAGGCTGCAACCTGTAACCTTTTCTCCACACTCAAATAGAAAATTAGCAGTGCTGTTATAAGAAAGATGCAATAATGGATTAGTCAGCCTTCAACTGAGAGGTGCAGAGAGATATCCAGGGAAACAGGTGGGAAAAGATTCACCTTTCCCTTGATATAAATAGCATGCATTTAAAACTGGATATTTACAGTTGAACAGTGAGACAAAATTAAGAGGCCAACATTTATTTAGACAAACTAAGTTAAAATATTAAACTTTAGGAGAATTTCAGCTTTTCTTCTGTATAAAATCGGTGCACTTTGAGGCTGGATTGGCCCCAAGCACGAAAGCAATGAGGGTTATAAGTCAAGCAGCATTGCTGGGGTTCATCCTGTTGACAGTCCATCTTGAATTACCTCCTGCCATAACTGTTTTCACCCTGTCCTAGGAATGTTATGGTAATAATATAGCCCAGGGTAATGACAAGAACAGTCCAAGGAGGTTACCACGTGGACAGCCTTCTCTTTAATGTCTGAGCAACACTCTAGAGTTGCAATTCACAATGTTTTATTGAACTGTATGTTGACATTTTGACTGTTTTGTTTGCATGTTTGTTTGCTCTTGTTTGTGGGCAAATTTAGGAACTCTGCAAAAACTACTAAAACTGAAAATGGGAACAATGAATCTCTTACAAGGGTAAAATTACTAAAGTAGAGTCACTCTAAAAATATGATTCTCATCTGAGCTGTGCTTGCTACATTTTCCTAATATTTTCTGGAAAATTTCTGCAAATAAAATAATTTTGGAGATCCAAAGTATTAGATTCCTTTGGCAGCTTTTTTGCCAATGCCAAAACACAAACCCATGGGGATCAGACTGTTAATTGGAGATACCTATAGTCCTAATTTTAAAGAAATTCCAGTCTTTTGTCAGAAAGGAAAATTGTTGAGTTGTTTTGCAAATGGCCCACTCATTTGTCAGTGACAGAAGGAACAGAGCCCTTCATCTCCTGCCCCCTTACACAGCGCGTGCAAAGGCCTGTGAAAATCAGAACTGTTGGGCAATAAACAATCACAAATGGGACGGCCTCATTTACTGGAGCTGTTACAGTTTGGGTAAATGACAGTGCAAATGCAGCCCAGATCTGCTCTCCTCTAAATGCCAGCAGTTCTGTCTGAACAGTCACACCGGCATCACCACAGGGAAGTAACACCTACACAGCCCCTCCAAACCGAGGCAGTGTCTTGTTACTGGTTACTTGTTACTCAGTAGAGGCTCTCAGAAAGCCACACTCATCACCAGCTTATTTCTGAGTTTGGAACTGCAGCCTCTTCAGCTGGGCAGGGAATGAGATCAGCTGTCAGAAGCATTATCCCGGGAGAAAGCACATCCATACTGTGTGCTGCAGTGATGTACTTTCCACGCTAATTTTCCTCACACCATCATTGGTGAGGAACCCTTAGGTAGCCAAGGAGGCCAAACTTGTTGGGTATCAATCATTCCTTTAAGTTTCCATCCATGGTGGTTGTTCCTTCAGTTCAAAGTTACTGCAAATAAACTGTGCAGACAGCTTATTAAAATACCTCGTAAGCCTAATGAAACCATAATGAAGAAATTTATGAAAAATTAAGGGCCTTTTTACAAGGAAAACAACATTGCTGTGACTGATCTGAGGCTGAACAGCTAATGAAACATCTGGGGAGACCAGATCGTGATTAGAAGAAAGGACATAAGACTGGGAGAAAGACTTGCAGAAACCCCAGAATTTGCCCTTGACAGAACTGTCTAAATTTCCCAGAAAAGGAAATTGCCCAGGCTGGAGTGAAACTCATGGGTCAAAAGCAAATCACCCCGAGTCACTGAGGAAAATGGACAGCTAAATCTATTAGTAAGCTACTTTCCAGAGAGGAAATAGGATTGTTTGCACAGGATGGCCTGGCCAGTGTAGTCTCAGTCTTCAGCTTTTCACACTAAGAGGTGATCCTGAAGGTGCTTCACTGAACTATTCCAAGGCTACCGGCAGGTAAGCAACGCATTTCTGAAACATTATTTAAAATATGAGTTTAATACTGTCATTAGTGCTTTCTTGAAAAATAAGACAGAGAATTTTGACCCTCCAAAAGACAGGCACAGGTTTCTGGGAATCAGTTGGAAGGCTCTTTTAGAGAGTGCTGAGCAGGTAGAGCTCTCATCCTTTCAAATTCCCTTGCCCTGAGTGACAGTGACTTTAATGAGCAACAGACATGCTCACGTATTCCATCCTGTTTCAAACAAAACCAAAACAAAAACAAACAAACAAACAAAAACCAAAACAAAAACAAAAACTGATCCGCCACTTATCAGAACAGGATTATGGGCCAATTTCCAGTCATCCTTGCTGATGCATTTACTGGGGAGCAGAAAATCAGGTTGTTGAGGGCCTTGGAAAGGTCTTAAAGCCCTTAAATATGATTTTTTTCTATCACATGTAGAATGGAATAATAAAATAGATCATCGTAAAATAAACATAATTTCCCACCATCTTGATTATGTTTTCCAGCCTAAGTCATCACGTCTGTTACTTTACAGTTGCTTGTGGTCATTTTGCAGCTTTTGTTATTCAAAGAGGGCTTCTCAGAAACAGAAGAGTTGGTGAGAAATTCAAAGAATTACAAAGAGATACAGCTGACTTCAAGGATAAGAAAGCATGTTTTTTCATCCTTATATTTGTTAACTCATATCCCACTGCAAAAAAACCCTGACAACCAAAACTCCCAGCCCTTAAACACCCTACTGAGTGTGTAAGGAGGGTTTTGAATGCACATGCAGTATATTATGAAATTATTACAGAGCACACAGAAGAGGTGCCTAGACATGTACCACAGAAAGTCAAATCATATTCTGCCCTTATTTTATTCTAACTGATCTTCCTAAAGAGAATCAAACAGCCTTGATGCAAAAAGGGTATGAACTTGTGAAGGAGGGATGTGTACATCACAGTTATAGCATTATTCATAGCTTATAAATTAAATATTTCTTGAAGTTCTGAAGCTTTCAGCCAGAAGAGGAGAAGATATCTAGGTCTTTTGTTATACCAACTTCAGGATCAAATAATCTCTTACTTGAAAAGCACCTCGGTTACTCCCTGCAAATATTCACTATGTTCATTAATTGGTAGATACAGAAATACCTATTATCATCAGAGTTAGTATCATTATTTGTGAATAAAGATACACAAACTTTAAATAAATTGCTCGGAGTAAATTTCCTATATTTTTCCAAACGGTTTCACTGCTGCCTCAAGACTAATCTAAGAGGCAATGGTTCATAGTTCTGACAGCTGTAAGAAGAAGCAATCCTAAAAAAATACTTCGGTATTTCCATGGTTTGAGGTGTCAGTAGCTTCAAACATCCATTTTAAAATCAATTTTCTAATTGCTTTCTTTATTAAAAGAAAAAGTGAATATACTGCTGTCAGCAGAATCACTTTTTTCCCTAATGAGATGTATAATTTTAGCTATAAACAAATTTTGGAAAAGGTGATATCTACTACACTGTTCAAAAGTAAGTGATCTATAAAACTGACTGTGCACTACTCTGTGGGATGCTTTTCTTCCTTCCACAGCAACCATCCCATTATTTCGGTTTTGTCATATTTTCTAGGGGTGGTGAGGGAGAGTATAAGCTGCAAGGATTTTGCTTTTATAATATATGGTAAAACTGATCTGCTCTGTTTGCATGTTGCCTTCATATAAACTGCATTGTCTTGTGGTAATCATTGGTAAGTTAATGCTCCATGGAAAGCGATGTATTCAGGCATTTGACAAGATGCAAAATGTTTCCTTTGGGGATGTAAGCCAACTTGTCAATACTTTTGCAACTATCATTGTTACAACCCATATGAATACGAACTTTGGGCAAATATAAATACAGAAATCATTTAGATCATGTTTTCCTGGCCTGGTCTGTGCACCCCGTGTGTTGGACCAAAAGAGCCCACGTAGTATGTAGCACAGACAGTACTTCAAGAGTAAAGAGACTTTAGGTTCCATAAGACAAGAAGCACTAAACTTGAATTCTTTTGAGTAGGCTGGAGCTGAGAAAGCGGTCAAAACGGTTGTGTATTTCAGCGATGCCGTTGTTGGATTTATTCCCGCACATGACCGGGGAGGAGCTTTCGGATCCTGAAGCTGTGGCGGACCCGGCTCCGCGCAGCTCCCGGGGCGCGGATCCCGCCCTGTCCCTGGTGCTGACGGGGGGCAGCGCCCGGCGAGCAAACCCCGACCCCGGCACAGCCGGGATTCCTGGCGGAGCCCAGCGCGGTGCCACTGGGACGGGAGCTTCCTAGCCCGGGGAATTTTCATTCCTGGTCAAACCCCAGGGGGCTCAGACGGGGCACCGCCCGCGTTTCCAGTGCTTTGACGCTTGGGAACATCTTTCCTTTCGACGCTTGGGAACAGTCTTTTCCTTTTTTATTGTTAACAAACTCATAAAGCAGCGGCTCCGTCACTGCACTGAGAAAACAGCTGGATTCCTGGAGAATATTTCGGGAAGCATAACATAAAAAAGAAGAAACCCAAACCACCAGCCAGCACTACTGAACAGAGGGATATGTGGACAGGGATGCTCGGTCCTTGACAGCACTCAGCAGCCATGTGAACGCACCGCCAGGCTCAGTATCTTAAATTATCTCAGTATCACTGTCCTGGTGGGCAGTTACGTTGATCGTTTTGCATTTTTTGTCTTCCAAACCCTTTGTCTCCTCTCGGGACGTGGTTTTAACTTTTCCACTCAGTTAAAACGACCATCACCTATCAACACCAGTGAATCAGCGGGGGTAAACAAACCTCACTTCCACTTTTCTTACGAGGCAATGAGTGAAATCAGCGATTTCGCTCGGCGAAGGGGCTGAAGGCTGCGGGCTCCAAGCCCGCACGGCACTAAAGCACACGCTGGAGAGCTTGTGCTGAGCTCGGGCAGGACCGCAGCCCCTCCTGCCGCCCCGCGCCGCCCTCCCGAGCGCCCCGGGTCCCTCCCGCGGGCGCGGCCCCCCCGCTCCCGCCGCCATTTCATCCCTCGCATCCTTCCCTGAGGGCGCTCGCGCGCGGACCGCCCGCCCCCCGGGATACCTGCTGCCGCTCCCCACAGCTCTGTGTCACCTTCCCGCTCCGCCACCGCGGCCCCGCGGTGATCTCGGCTCGCACGCGGGCATTTGCACACCGCGGGCAGCGCTTTCTCGCTCACCGGCCCCTGCGCTACCGCCCGCGGCGGAAAATCCCCTCAGCGCGCCCCGCCCGCGCGGCGCCCCCGCGCGGCGGCCCCGGGGAGCGGCCCCTGCCCTCGGGCCCTGCCCGTGCCCCGGGCGCTTTAACAGCCCCATCGGGGCGGCAGCGGCGCTGCCCTCTCCGCGGGGCCGGGCGGGCTCCGCGCTGCCCTGGGCTCCGCGCTGCCCTGGGCTCCGCTCCCCTCGGCCCTGCGGCTGCGGGGCCGATGTCCGTGGGTGCGGCAGCTGCAGCTCCCGTGGGGGCGGGCCCCGCTCCCGCCGGCCCCGGCCCACGCAACGCGGCGGCGGCGGTGAGAGGGGGCGGCCCGGAGGGACCGCTTGGTTACTCGGGACGCCGCAGGTGGGCAAGGTGGGTGCGCCGCGACCACGGAGTTTCTGTAGTGGAAGGTGTTGCCCCGGAGAGCCTTTGCTGGGAAGGCAGAAGTGAGCGGGCGAGGCGTTTGGGAGGTTGTCTTGTCATCTTGTGCCTACGGGCACACCGCTGCATCAGTGTGGTGCAGTGATCCCCTGAGGAGCCTGCGATGGCCAAATGACGCTGATGGCACAGGATCCTTCTCCTAAGCCCTGTTGAGCGCTCTCTGCGCTGTGCCAAACCTCGGCTGTCCGGACACGAGCCAGCGCTGTCAGCGGTGCTGTGACCTCGATGGCAAAGCTCAGCCCCTGCTCTGTGCAGAGCTCGTGGTGACCTGCACGCAGCCTCTGTAGCTGTTCTTGGGTCTGTTGGGGTTTGTTTGGTTTTTTTTTTCATTCGCTATTTCCCCCTTTCTAAGAGAAAACAGTCGTTTAGGATTGCCTGCAACAAGGCACAAATTACAGTAGTCACAGGCTTGCTGTAAACTTTCCTGGTTTCAGCCCAGAGTTGGAAAAGAACAATGAAAACTGAATGGCAACGCATTTGACAGCCTTGTTTTTCTTCTTCAAGTACCTATATTAAAAACTGAGCTCTGCATTTTAATCCAGTTGCTGCTGTTGATACATTTTGTCACTTAAAACTGGTAACCTAAGCGCTATGGTTACATATGTAAACAGGAGTTGGTTAAAACACCAGGTGCTTAGGTGTTCTTTACCTTAAAAAAGAAATTTTATTATCTTGGGAAGGTAGGTGCCATGGAAGTGTTAAGTAATACATGGTGTAGTGACTGCCTTTAAAAACTATAACTGAAAAGCTGATAAAACGAGAACTTAGTAACATACAGTCAAGTCTTTGGAAACACTCTGGACTGGTATCCTTCTCTTCTCTTGGGACTCTGTCTTTCCACAGATTTCCACTTTAACATAGTTACCAAAAACTTTTCAAATATTTTAAAAATCAGTTCTGACTACACTATGTTGTATACCAAATCTTTTGTGGTAGCAGAAAAGATGTGCAGGGAAAAAAGGCCATGTAGTAGGGGAATAAAGTGTGAAATATTTTTTTTGTAAAGGTGAAAGTAGTCATGGTGAAAGATCTAGAGGAGAGGGTAAACAGCAAATTTGATCAATTGGTAAAGTGATACTGGCAGCAACAAACAGGCAAGCAGGAAACACTGGAGCTGCATTTCTGAAGGCATTGTATTACAGGGAAGGGAGATAATATTCTGTCATTATATTGCTCTAGCATATCTCCCCAGAAATACTGGCTTTTGTTGGAACCCACAAAGCACATTAATAGAAATGTATTGGCAAAGTAGAATGAGATGAAGCAAAGTGTGGTAGAAAATTTAGCTTCTTGGGAAAGATCAAAATGCAGGATTTACGACAACTTGATAAAGGTGCTAAAAGGAATTCAGAAATACTAAGTTCTGTGAGAATCGAAGGATTTTGATTCAATAGGTCAAACAAAGCTGTACATGGAAGTAAAAGGAGGATTAGCTCAACTTAGAGCTCAGCAGTGAAGGAAAGGGGATTGCAATGAGCTCTTTTGCATTGTAGAATAGCCTTACTTTGGAAGCAATATTGAACTTGTGCTGAACTTGTGGGAAAAAAATCTCTACTCTTGGTAATTACTTTTATATTCAGTTTGACATTGGCAAGGTGGGAATTCAGAGTTAAAAATTTTTTACATCTCTGAAGTGTCAGTTTCAAATTCTTTGGCACAGCTTAGCCAATATATGGTAAATATGTGCTATTTGTACTGTGGATCACAATGAAGATCTCTCCCCAAATACAGCTGTTGATTCCACATGAAATGTAATTAACATTCGAAATTTTGGGGCTGGGTTAATTCGAAATTTTTGAAAACTCTAGGATTGCACATATCAGTCAACCAGTACAAAGCTTGAGTTTTCTTCATGCATCTGTGCATCTTCAAGGCTCCATTCTCCTTGCTTTTCCACTGTTCTGAAAGAATGTGGATAATTGTACTGGGGACAGTGCAGGAATCCATGGGATGGAAAGGGCATGTTTGTCATAAAGCCGAATGCTGCCTTCTCATACTGCCACTCCCTCAGGTGAGGGAGACTGAAATAAAGGCAGGCAATCTTTTTGTCAGGTTTTTTTTCCCCTAAAGGAATGTTGAATATCTTTTTATCAAATAGGAAATGATAGTTTATTCCTGTGGCGTGCAAGTCTTTCACTTGCCTAAAGAAAAACATAAACCATGACCTTGTATGCATCTTTTTATGTGCCAGGGATGTGCAGTATGTTGCAGATCAGAAGTCAAACTCTAAGCAATCTGCTTCTGAAATCCTTAATGATACAAATCATACAACCGTGTTGCTGCAGTAACAGTAGTTCAAGGCTCCTCTATGCACACTTTTACCTCTGCAGCTAAAATATAACCCGTGAGTAATACATCCAGCTCCATGGAGTAGTAGCAACTTTAACAACTGGAATTTCCATTACTTGTTTCCTCCCACCTTTATTTAGCTTTGACACCGGTGGGTTTGATTTCATTCACTCCATGGCTCTGCTCTCCCAAGCATGCAGCCGTCGCTCTCCTAAAGCCGGTTCACAGTAATGTGTCACAGCATGGTCTCCCAGCACGTGGGGATTGTTTCCTCCAGCGTAACATCTCTGCTGCAGTTGTGGAAGGACAGCTCTGCTCAGGCTCAGAGGCATTTGCTGGAGGTGGTGGCACTTTCCCCTGCCGTAGAGCCTGGTGTCCATCCAGCTTCCTCCCAGCTGTTCCCATCAGTCAGCTGGGAATAGCTCGGGACGGGGCAGGGCCTGGTGAGCTCTGGACAATTCTCTGCTTTGATATGTGTGGAGAAAATGTCACCCTGCTCCTGGAATACGTTTTTTGTTTAAATGTCACTCCTTACATCAGTGACCTCATCTGACTCAGCATAGCTTCTCTCTGAAGGGAGGGAGCTATGAGCAAATCAGATTTTGACATGGCAGGAGAATGTAGGGAAGAAGGCACACCAAGAGAAACAAAATACTGTTATCTGAGCAAACAAAAAATGAGTTTTGGAACAGTCTAACAGGCAGTTATGTAAAGCAACTAAAACCTAATCTAAACATCACAAGCCTCTGAAAAACAAGGGGACTGTCTATTATGTACACACAGTTTATTGCAACCTCAGGTTTCCCAGAAGGTGTTGCTGAGATTTGTGCTGATAGCTGTGATGACACTGTACCTGCTGCCCTTTTAAAAACAGGGTGGGGTTGAACTAGCCATCTGGGTGGATCACCAGCTTTCTTATTTAGAGGCTCATTGTATTGAAGGTCTGTAGAAAGTGAGACCTGTGCTAAATGTCCCTAACAAATGGAGCTGTGACCACACCATGAGCTTCTGTAGCATTTTAACTTCATTATTAAGCACAGAACTTTCTCCAGGCAGGCAGAGGGGATACAGACACAGGAGGGAAACGACTTACAGAGGCCTGGAGAAAGAAAACTGTGGAATGTTTTTTTCTCCAAATTGCGCCTGGTAGTGATAGAGCTGTGGTCCTGTGGTGTTGAAGGGGAATGTTGGCCAGGACTCTGGCATATCCTCTCCACTTTCCTTTTAAAAGTGCCAAGCTATGCTGGACATTCATGCAGACACAGACAGAAACCAAAGGAGTAGGAACAAGTGACCTTAGTTTAACATTTCATTCAAATGACAGAGCCCCTAATGAGATTCCCACTCTAGTTTCTTAGCACACCACCCAGCCTGAAGGATCTCTCAGATCCTTTCAGATGTCCTAAACTGATAAGGGAATGGCATGTTACAGATGTGAAAGTAGGACAGAAACACATAGTGTTTGATTAAACAGCATCTCTGTTTCTTAATTCTTAGCTCTGTTCAGCTTGCTGTGCAATTTTATTCTGTTCTGGGTTCTGTTCCCCCCTCCCCCTTTTTAAATCTTTTTTTTCTATGAATGACTGAAGGTTTAGGTATCAGAAGGTAACATGCACAGAATTTACAGTCCATAAAACTGTAACTTTTCTTCTAATACCTATTTAGGTGATACTGTCTTTACTAGTGAAGCCATAACTTGCTATGTTTATGTTACTCCTAGTAAAGAGTTCTGTTCTCCTGAACCCTTTAAATGGAGCCAAGAAAGGGCACTAAACCAGCATCAATTCTTAGGAAAAGGAGAGAAATACTGCAATGAGCATTCATCTTCAAACTTGGGTGACATAGGACTTTCTAAAAAAAAAAATAAATTCAGTACTAGATAAACTGGCAGGCCCAGAAATTCTGCCATTTGAAGTCCAACAAGTCAGTCTTGTCTCTCCTCAAAGTCATCATCCAAAAATCACTGGTTCTGGACTCACAGAGGACAGGTTATAAATCCTCTTGATGTAAATGTACCTTAGAGGTATTTGTGAGACATCAAAAACCCATCTTCTTCTCAGGCTGTGTCTTGCTATTTGCCTTAGTTTGGGCCAGTTCTGCTGGCTTGGGGTAACTTCCATTTAAATCCAAGTGAAATGCTGTGGTTTAATGTGGATCTCTGGCAAAAAGATATGGTGATATGGTTATATGGTTTAGTCTATGCCGAGATTAATTATTCCCTTGTACAAATGGCTTTTCTGACACTGTGAATACTAAACGGACACTGTATTGCTTCATGATTTTGAAAATTATTGACCATCTCCTCAGATAAAGACTGAGTTCCTGGCACTGCTTGCTCTCTGCCATTTCGCCACCAGATATTTACCGTGTTTTAAGGTAGGTGTATTGGCAGAGTGACCCATTATCAACATTCGAACTCAGCTGCCTCACTCTAGTGCACTGTGTGGTTTTGGTTGTCTTTTGGATCATCAGGGCAGAACTCATGCTTCCCCCCCTGCCACCTTAACATAATGGCAATTTTTTTCTAACCAGAGGATAAAGAAGGATAAATGCTGCAGAGATACAGGAGAGGGCTCCTTGAAATGGGAGAGCAGAAATTTTTTGTTTATATCTGTAGATCTGCCAACAGCTTCTCCCCTTCCCTCATGTCCTCTGCCTTTTAGCAATTTCCAATCTAAGGCAGAAATGCTATCCAGCATTACTGAACAAGGGTTACAGTTTTATGGAAATGCCTAAGAACTGGAATATAAACTATGAAAAAATCAAGGAATAAATTAAGAAAGCAGTTGGCTAACTATTTGTATTCTTAGCCTTTCATTTAAGTGTCATGCCTTTAGAAGACTTGTATTGAAATGACGAGACAGGTATGTAGTGAAACTATGCTTTTGCCACAGAAATTAAATGCTGATTAGAAGTATCTCATGATACATCTTTCTGCATTCAGAGAGAATAAATTTTAATTTTCCCTTGAGAAAGCAAGGGCTGTGGAACCAAGAGCCAAACACGAAGTTGTGGGGCCTTTTTGTGATGCTAAAACTTTTTTCAGTTTAACAAACTATTGCAAAGGAAGGTAAACACTTTTTTGGTGCCTTTCCTGCTACATAAAGTAAGATCTATGTAAAAGGAACTCGCTTGTAGTATATTATATGTCACAATGCAATAAACATTTGCTGAAGCAGAATTTAAAAATAGCTCTGTAGTTGTTAACAGGTTAGTGAAGAGATTTGGGTGTTTGGGATTTTAGCATTGGATTTTGTTTGCTTGTTTTATTAAAACATGTGTTTTGTCCATAAAGGAACTGGGCAGGACGAGGGGCTTCAGGAGCCTAGAAAGATCTGTCCCCTTTCCTGAGGACTATATTAGATCTCTGAGTCATGAAGTCTTTGCATAGTAGGTGTCTGGTTACAAACCTTTTATGGGCCCTGCTCAGCTGGGATATCAGCATCTGCATTATAGCTCCCATCTATTCTTAGGTGGTATCAGAGCACGACTGAACAGGCAAGGCAGAAAGAGAATTGCTTGCGTTACGTAAAACTCTTCCCTCTTCTCATTCTGTTGTTTTCACACTTCTCTCTGTCCACCCCATCCTTGTGTTCTGCAGTGCCTTCTTGTTGTGTGGTGAAAGCAGCACACAATGGCTTACAGCGTGACTCTGAACGGACCTGGACCGTGGGGCTTCCGACTGCAAGGGGGCAAGGACTTCAACATGCCCTTGACCATCTCCAGAGTAAGTGTGCAAAAAACCTTGTTGAGCTTGTTTAGGTTGGAAAATAGCAGTCACATGCACACTCTGACTAGCAAAATAGAGGATCTTTGCACCTAGGTGTGAATCAAGAGAATATAATGTGGACTTTAAATATACCTGTTAAAGTACAACCTGGCATGGTTTATGCCTCAGGAAGACAGTTCTGGTTAGTATATTTTTGTGAATGGTGATACTCTCTCTCTTAAATGAGCTTCCAGTTCTATATTGTACAGTGTTGTCTCTTTTTCTGCTGCCTATTTGAGGGGAAGGGAGTAGAAGAACTATGAATGAGAATATAGATTATGTTTCTAGAAAATAAGCATGTGACTGCTTGTAAACTTGTGAAGTCAGGTGTTAAAACTGGACAAAGACAGGGATATGTGTCCCTTCCTGTGAGGGGGTGCAATAATTGGATAAAAATTCAATATGTCAAGCAGAAGACTCAATAGTGCTTAAAATACAGTCTTAAATTATGCAGAAGCCTTCCATTTGCAGCTGACAAACAGCATGTGATTTAATAATTAATTACCTGGTGCATCTGTCAATTACAGATGAGTCCATTTATTTCCTAGCTGCCTTTTTTCCTTCCTTCCCCTTAAAGCATTATTTTAAGGTGTTGCACTTGAGTACTCTTATGATCTGAATTAGCTCAGTTTCTTAAAAGTTTTTAACATTGGATGGTTTTCAGGAAACTTGATTTTCCCTTACCTACCCTTCTCTTATCAGATAGTTCTGTGTAACTTCTGGTAGCTCCCTTCTCTTTTTCTTTTTCTTCTTCTTTTTTTTTCTTTTTTTTTTTTTGTTTGTTTAGGGGTTTTTTTGTTGGTTTTTTTGTTTTGTTTTTATTTTTGTTTTTGTTTTCTTCTTTCTGACAGTCTCAAATCTGCTCCAGAATGTTCAGATCTCTTTAGAGAAGTCTTGGTTCCTCTACAAATCACCTGCAGAAAGCTTATTTTGCAGTGACAAGAGAGGTTACTTACATAACAGTGTTTAAAGGAATACCAGAATGATTTAATCAGACAAACAAGTGGAATGCAAACAAAAGGTCTGCTCCACTGGGAAAAAAAAGAAAAAAGAAAAGAAAAAAAGCCACCTACACTACTTTTAAAAACTGTGTTGGGTTTTTTTCATAATGAAAAAATACAATCTGTTAAGTTGTGGGTACAAAATTGGTATCTCTGCAACAATCGTGATTCAGAGTCGATCAGTGAGCTTCTGAAATCTTAACTATGCTTTTTCATATTCACCCTATGAAGCTTTGTATCATTTGGTCTCCCTTGTTCTTATGCACATTAGCCCTTTCTCGGAAGACAGAGCTGCATTTACCTTTATTATTAAGGCCTATGATGATGAGAGGACCTTTTCAGAACTCCTTTTGCAGAAACAGTGCAGTAACTGCCAAGAAGGATGTTTGGTCAGTATTATTGAAAGCAAGCAAGTAGAAGACAACCTAAAATACTCCCTGCCCACAAAAATAAACTCACTTCATGAACTCAGATTAATTTCACTTGTAAATAGTGTTGGTCTTTCTTTTCCTATCTCACCCAAGGTAAGTACAGAGAGGTGCCAACATATTTCTGCAGTCATTTTCATGACACTTTGCAGCCTGACAGTCATACCTAGAGGCTGTCAGTCGAGGGCTGTGGCACTTGGACTGTGTATGACACAATCAGTAATGAAAAGCCAGTTGTTTCCCAAATAACTCATTGTCTCATATTGTAATTTATTAAAGTGTAAACTCTATGCCCAAAGGCTGTATGATTCTCATGGGGCTTTTGAGACCATATGAGGAGCAGGAGTGAAACTACAATGGCTGAATTCCCAGAGGTGTGGAGGAATTACCTCTTCCCACAGCTGACTGCTTTCCCAGCAGTAGCAGTGTCAGAAAGCACTGCTAAATGTTTGGAACTCTTTCCCAGTGAGGCCCAACTTTTAGCTGGGACTACTGATTTGGGATGGGACTGGATTTTGTATCCTGCCTTATGAGGGGAAAGCATACATACAAGAATGAACACAGCCACTTTCAGGGCAAGCTGGGATAGTAATGCCTGCTGTTTGTGATGTTTTTAATTGGAACACCGTGTAATACATGGCTTTTGATGGTAATAGTGTATGTTTTTCTTTAGCATCTTTCACATAAATATATCTCAAAATAGATCCAATATTCCCCTTAATCAGAAATTTGCAATCATAAGGGAGTTGAGGTGTGAACTTAGCCATAATTGCAATCTTATCATGGGGGAAAAGAAAATCTGTGCTTACATTCTCAAGATATTCTTGGGGGGCAATGGAGGGGAAGATAACTGGGAGAAAAATCCCTTTCTTGGAAGAGGGATACAGCTTTAAATGTTGCTGGTGGATGCTGTACACTTATCTATGGACTGGTTTTGATCCACAGCTACCCCGAGATGAGATATGACTTTCTATGTGCAAGATGAGTCCTAAACCCCAAACACTTCAACTTAAAGGGTCTTGTAATTGCTTTTACTACCAGATGTCCCATGGCCCTTTTACCTGTATAGGTGCAGTGTCCCACATGCAGACACCTCATTACACTCCATCTGCCCCCGAGCAATTAACCTGGCTGTGGGTGGGCCACAGAAAACAAAAAGGACCATCCTTTTTCAGGAAGGCTCTGTGGTCTTCTGTCATGCTGCAAGACAGTTGCTTCTGAGCTCCTGAGAAAGATGATGGCAACAGTTGAACACAGTGGGATGGTTCATCCCATCTATAGTATTATGCCAACATGTTTCCAAGGACCTTCCCAAAAGAGGGTGCTAATGTTATGCCATAATGAAACTGGCCCATGCATAGACATAAAGTGGGCACCCTGGACTTGGAACTAGAGCTGTGGCTTAGCTGTCTGTTCACCTGCACTCTGTAAGCCAGTCCTATACAATTCCCACCCATCTTGCACTTTACCTGAGGACCAGGAGAGAAATCCTGAAGGTCTTTGAAACCTAGTGACAAAAGCACAATACAAGATTGTGGCATTGCTAATGCTTCTGCTCAGGAAAAATGCTCTTAAAACAGTGGACAAGGAAGGGAATTCCTCAGAGCTGTTTGGCACAACAGTTCACTTTAAAAAGGAATCTTTAAAGTGATGTCTGAGATGCTGTATTTTCTTGCCTTCTGGTAGGTCCAGGTGATCAACTCATTGCTGAATAGTCAACAGCATAAGGCACAGGACTCAGTCAGTCAGCTGGGTGACAGGTGAAGATGTGTTCCTCTGAAATGGATTGTTCTGCTTATCTGTTTTTTATCTAAAAATAAATGCCTGACTAACATAGTGGGTGGGGACAAGAAAAGAGGAGACAAAGACAAGTAGGGGAAGAGTTAAGGTCATTCTGAAGCTTTTACACTCCTTTAACCATGGCATTGGAAAATAATCTGTGAAGATTTTGAAACTATTATTTCAATCCCCACCCTGCATACCATCCTACCCTCTAGAAAAATCCTGTGATAAGATGTCAAATTCTGTCATGAGATGTCATGGACAGGTAGCAGAGGTAGGAAAACAGTATTGACAGACTTTTAGTAAAGCTGAGCATCTGTCAGCCCCGCTGAAATGAATGAGACTTGCAGGTTGTTGGCAAAGCTAAGAGCTGTCACCAGTGGCATGATCACACACATAAATCTGGTCTTTCCAAACTGACGTGGGCAGCAAAGCCGTTTATGTTCTCCTACTGCTTGCATGGACTGTCTGGAAGCAAGCAGAATTCATTAATTTTACAGACCTAATCCTTTGTAAGAAGGCTTTTGGACATAGTTAATTATCTAAGTGCTCTGTTGCCGTGTTACCTAAGATGGTACAATTGTACATGGTTGGATGCAACAGCAGAACCTCTCCACGTGTTTCTGAATGTTTATTGCCGAACGGTAAATTTTCTAGTGGGACAGACTGGCTTGCAGGGGATGCAATGAGCTGAAAGGTGTGCAGGAACTATCATCATCTGAGGTAATGGAAATATTATCTAGAACACTGTGGTAACTCATGACTGGTATATTCTTTTTGTGATTATCCATAGTTTTGTACTTCCTAGTAGAGAGGTTTTTAGTTGCTTGGGTTCCAAATCATAAGTCAGAACCTGAAGCAGAAGGAGATAATGTTTAAACAAAACAAAAGCGTTCAAGAACTCTTTTTCTTTATTTGATTAAGGGAGGAAAAAGCTGAAATATGATGATGATGTAACCACAGTGAGGGGAAACAGCAAACACTATTATGAAAAAATTTGAAATAGCTGATCTGTATGCTTACTCTGATACAAGCAGCCTGAAACTGCTCTTCAATGCTGGGGGAAACCCCTGGTCTAGCATTTTGCATTCTGTCTCTGCAGGAGCAGGAAGGTTTTTCTCACAGTTGTTAGACTCTTTCCTTTCATCAGCATCCCTTCCTGATTGCTTCCTGTCCCTCCTCCACTCCCTAGCATACATATGTCAGCCTCTGGCTGTGACTGCCTTTGCTTTAGAGGAGCTATGTGAGAGTACTCATTTCCTGTGGGCTATTGCATATCAGTGCCTTACAACAGACAAGTGATGGGGGAAGGTAGTCCCTCTACTTTTATTTTTCTATTCTTGAAAGCAGGGAAACCTCAAATGATCTGGGTCAGGCTCTAAGCATTCTGCAACTGTCACTTAAATGGCCATGTGGTGCTGTACATAAATTATAATAAGAATGCAGTTTACCTCTATTGACTGAACCGAAGCAATTTAACAAGTTCACTTGAAATGCTGATCCCACATCACCTCTGGTGAATCGGACTGCTGAGCAGTTGTCCTACAGCTACAGCTGCAACTTTGAGAGGTGTTTTTTTCATCTCTAAACAGGAAGCCCTTCACAATACCAAAAGCCACAGATTATTGTTTGTAATTGTTGATATTCTACTAAACAAACAGGTAAGTCTCATGTCCTCTGAAAGTCTTCCTCTTTAACTACTATGCAGTAGAGATGTTTCTTTTTTTCCCCCAAAGTTCAAATGACT